GACTCGAGTATTGTCCTTAAATACTGTTGCAAGGTACTTTTAATTCACTTCACTTTGGAGGACCAGATTCAACCCTGTAATAAGTAAGTAATAAGTATATAATAACGCAACACTAATGTGCCACACCGCCAGATCATGAGTACTTTAACTTTTAGCTGATTAACATGTTTTTAAATACAAGACGTTTACTTGTAATAAAGGATTTTTTTAATTCGTGGTGTTACGTGTAAGTAAGTGATCCCAAAACTTATTAAATTAATGATTTAGTGACTGTGTTAGATGTATCCTTAACATAATGTTTCACTCTTTAAAGGTCCAGTGTGTAATATTTAGGAGGACCTATTGACAGAAATGCAATATAAGATCCATAACTCTGTTTTCAGTGGTGTGTAAAGACCTTAAATAATGAACCGTTATGTTTTTATTACCTTAGAATGAGACATTTCTATCTACGCACACCACGTCTCCTCTTACTAGGACATCGCCACGTTGCGGCGCCATGTTTCTACAGTAGCCCAAATGGACAAAGTGCTCTACAGAGCGCGTTTCGTCACTACGTTGAATATGTACAAAGAAGAAGAAGCAGAAGTGTAGTAGTAGTTGTCGTCATCATCTGGTTCGTTAGAAGTAAAAAGTGAAATTTGGAGAAATGGAGGACCACGCCTGTTATTTAGCACAAGAGCCGACAGAGCGCGTCGGCCGCCGTAGCTTCTCCTGCTCGCCTGCAAAAGGAGGGGCGTGCGGCGAGTTAGCCGTTGATTGCAGTTCGCACCCCTCACCACTAGATGCCACTAAAACTTACACGCTGAACCTTTAAATATCTATTTTTACCTTAGGATATTAGAAATTAGCAACATTTATGCACATATGAAACCTTTTATTACACGTACTTACCATTGGGGGTGTTTAGGGAGACGTTGAGATGCTGTTTAAAATATGTTTTTGTATTATTTTTATGTCATGATTTGAAGAATTGTGCCACCATTTCACTCTTTAAATGTCATTATTGTAAAGGCAGCTCTAACTCCTGACAGGGTTTATCAGGAAGTAGGGTGGCTTGGATATTAAACTCACATCTTTGAGATTCAAGGAGTAGGTTTGTGATTCTTCCTGGTCCTCTGTTATCCATTTGCCATCGCGGCGTCCTTCTCGGCAAGGACATAATTTAACATCCTGGTCAAAGAGTCCAGTGGTTGTGAAGCTGTGGGTCAGATAATATTAGCAGATAGTCGCAGGGACACGAAAGTCCCACCAGAAGAGGCTCATCAGGCGTCCATCTGTCCAAGTCTGAGTCCAATTTGTGTCCAAGTCATCCCAGCCAGTCTTCACACAAACTTTAATGGTGTCGGATGAAATGATTCCCTTTCTCTTGACTTTACACTGTGCAGGTGATTTATATTGCTGCTCCCGGGCGCTGAGCAGAGAGAGGATTTATGTCTCCTCTAAAGGCCCCTTTTTAATATCACAATGCCTGTGTGTTCACTGGGGAAAGTTTACAGCCCTGATAGCGAGTTACCAGTAACCTTTGATCTACATTTAGTCATCCTACCTTCAGGCCTCAGACGCTGCACAGGGCTCACGCCTGTTTCTACGGCTCGTTCAGGAAGGAATCCAGGTGAAAATCTCCCTCACATTGTCACGCACAAGACGGTTTTAACCACAAACACAATGTTTTTCCTAACGTCCACAAACGCACCTTACCCATAACGTTGTTGTCATGTGCAGATGTTGAAGACGTTTAATAATTTGAATTTTGTAATTTAATGTAATGCAGGGTTTTGCAGAGTGGTCCAACAGCAAGTATTATTTTTTTTAGGAGTGGTTAATTAAGCCTATATAGACTTTTTGGACAGAAAGTGGAAAGTAATAAGTCACAAAAACAAAATTGTAATTGAAGCTTTAGGTGGGTGGAACAGGTCCTATTTCAAGCTTTTGCTTTACGTTGGCAGCTACATTTCTAAGGCTGTAAATCTGTTTTCTTATTGTCAGCAAAAATCACGAAAAGATAGTTGTCCGTCTCTCTGTGCCGTCTTTCTGTCTGCGGCTCTCAGCTCCAAAACCCATTGGTTCCTACTGGAGATGTAAATCTTTAAAAAAGCCTCACAAATATGTAGTTTCATTTAAAAAAACAACAAAAAAAGTCTTCCTAAAACAGCTGCTCACTGCAGTTGTTAACAAACATTTCTCCAACAGGAGGAATTAGTGCATTTGTTAGGGACTATTTTCACCGGCGGATGAATCCACATGTGTTGCTCTAGTGAGTATTTGGGGCAGCAGGACGGTGTATGTGGGACTGATGGTGCTTTCCAGTCTGAAAATTCCCCTTAATTATAATTATTATTATTATTATTATTATTATTATTATGTGTCTTCACTCAGGCCTCTGCTGCAGGATTTGGATGGAAACTGTAAGACATAACTTCATTCATATTAACAGTGCCAGGACGCGCCTAGCTGGCATCGGAATTGTTTTTGATTGGTTTGTTTCTGGTTGATGGATAACCCATCTCACCAATACTTTAGATACTAATTTAACATGTTAAACTTAAACTAAATTGCGTGGCATTTGTGGGATTATATGAGGCCTCTAACTGAGCATCATCTGGAGCCCTCGCTTCCCCACGTGGGTCCAGGTTTCCTCTCACACACGGTGGAGCTTTGTGGTCTTTCGTCTTTCTGGCTGCTTGTGTTCAAGCAGACAACAGAGGTGGGAAGTAATGAACTGCAGCTACGGTTCTCTGACATTCATGCTGGTTAGTGGTCGACCGATGGTTTTTCAGCGGCAGATGCCGATATCAAAACAAAGAAAAGCTATATATATATAATAGTTCTGTATAATCCCATTATTCCTGCAGAGTACAATCTAATAAACATGTTGTTATTAAGTTTTATTAATGAATAAAACGGAAACATTCATTGGGTTCTGTTGTAGATTTCAGGGCGTGACGGGTGTTTAAGGGAGAGCCGGGCCCAGTCTGTCAGAAGTGACGTCATTCAGCTGCATTATTCTTTGGTCCAGGCTGAAATATCTCAACAGCTGTTGGATGGATCGCCGTGAACGTTTGATGTTCTCCAGATAATCAATGCTAATGACTTTGAGGAACCCCTGACACCAGCAGGTTCACATATTGCAAGATTCCCATCTGGCAATCTGCAAAAACGAGCATGCAAACATGCTAAGCGCTAGACATCAGCACATTTTAACATTTTAACATTGAAATCCTTGCCTTGGGCTGCTTTGAGTGTTAGCAGTCAACTCAAAGCAGCCCAAGGCAAGGATTTTGCTTTCCCAGTACACGAGGGTCCGCGTGACGAACGCAAATAGTTTATTTATGTATCATTGCTTACTAGAGCTGCAATGATTAATTGATAGTTGTCAACAATTAATTTAATGGTTGACAACTATTTTGATAATCGATTAATTGGTTTGAGTTGTTTTGTAAGAGGAAAAAAAAGAAAGTACAAATTCTCTGATTCCTGCTTCTTAAATATAAATATTTTCTGATTTCTTTCCTCCTCTGTGAAAGTAAACTGAATATCTTTGGGTTGTGGTAGTGTTGCAGTACTCGAGACCGGTCTTAAGACCACTTTTTGATGGTCTAGGTCTCGTAAATAAATAATCATTAATAATTTTTAATAATCATTAATTGCAGCCTAATTGTTTCCTATCAATTATTTCCATTCTTGATTAAACTAATCATTTTTATGATTAGCCAGATAATCATTAATGACATGAAAGGTTAGAAAAACAGTAAATTATGTCCAAGATTACGTCTCTAACTAATTAATCGACTAATCATTCCAGCACGTGTAAAATGTGCAGCCACTTAATTTGAACTGTTAAAAAGTAAATGAAACCTAAAAACACATCTTCTGCTTCTGAGTTGAAGGTTACGCAGCAGCAGTAAATGACCTGAACTAACATTTTGTCCCTGATGTTTTTTCCCCTGCCGAGGCCGTGAGAATCAGAGGTCGTCCCCGAGGGAAAGGCCGTCACTCTGTTACAACATCACCACCGTAACACGATCTGCTGCTAGTTTGACTCGATAACACTGTAATTGGTTTGTTGGCGGCCACAAAGCCCCGGAGAGCTCAGGACACATGTGAGTCGATGCAGTTGGAGGATCGCTCCGATAATTCAACCCCGAGCTGAAGCGACTACATAAGAACTTCTCCTACTGTTACAGATGCAGGAGATTTGAGCCAACATAAAAAAATAAAAAATAAAACATAATCTTAAGATCTCGTGCCAGAGAAAACTTCTTTTTTTTGTACAGAAAATAACAAAAATGTGCTTTAAAGTTTTATTAATAGCTCATAAACTCGGATCAGAGGAGTGAAATTACTGAAAACATGTTTAAATGCAGCATAAAGATTTTAGGATTCAGTGGTTTTTGATTAGGTTTATTGAGAGGATGCTAATATACAACAATATGACAGAACATCTAAAAAAATATCAGCACAAAAACATATTAAACATTAAACTACATTTTATTATAAGGTTGCTTTTACTTTGTTTCATTAGGATTTAATACATTTACTGTCTTTCCTGCAGTTTTTTTTTTTTTTAGTAATTCTACCCTCAAGTCACAGCGATCTGAAGTTTATAGCTTTACTTATATCTTTGCTTTAATTGCAGAACGTTTATTTCATAACAATCATTTTATTTATTTAGTTGTTGTTCTTTGTTTTTTCACTCTAAAGCAGTTTGTAACTTTATTAGATGTATTATATTATGTGTAGTTCACTGGGTTTGCTAATGCTTACGGCGTTAATAAAAGTGTACTGTAGGTCATGGTGCAGCTTGTGTGCAGAGGAAAATTATATAAATCTGTTTAGAGTAACTAAGAAGACAGAAATGCTTCTTTGCTTTGTGGGAACAGGTTTGCTGCAGAATGAAACTCAGGAACAACCGTATGAATGAACCGGTAAAGAGATCACCGTGCGTCACAGAGTGGAGAAAACGCGCCGCTGACTGTTTCATATGTCGTGTTTTCCAGAGCCCTCAGACCGGTGCGATGGAGGATGGGAAGCCGGTGTGGGCGCCCCACCCAGCGGACGGCTTCCAGCTGGGAACTATAGTGGACATCGGCGCTGACAGCCTCACCATCGAACCTCTCAAACAGAGGGGCAAGGTGAGCGAGCTCTGAACCTACAGACGCAGCAGCTGGACGAGTCCGACTGTGGATTGTAACCGAAGGACGATGCTTAGCTGCTTCTTGGGTAAAATTGGTAACTGGAGAAAACAGTGGAGCTGCTGGTCCCATATGTACATGTTTCTAACTCATGCTGGCCGCACGCTAGAGGGTAATTGATATGATCAAGTAGTGTGAGGGGTTTACAGACATAATCTTAAGGTCACTGACTGGATCGGAGGTATATTTAGGATTTAAAGCCTCCGATCAGAAAATCGTCAACAGCCAATGAGAGCGGGAAGCGTTCCCAGCGTGTTGTGTCTGCTCGCGCTGTGAAATGTATAAACCTGCTGATTTTTTTTTTTCCCTTTCTGTGCAAAACACAGCACACACAAGGTCAGCCAGCTGCCGACGGCGCTCTGCCTCGCATGTTTGTTTCTGTCTGAAGTCACGTTTGATCACGCGAGTTTCTGTGAGATCCCCGCTCTGAAACAAAACAAACGCTGGTGACCCCTTTTTATTTATTTATTTATTTTTATTTTTGGCTTCACGATTTCCTTCAAAGTTCAGTTTTAAGTCGATTAATTATCCCAAGATCTTTGTAAACACATCCCCCTGCCTTCTAAAATCAACGGCTTTTTATGTTTAATCAAAGGACACATCCCACCACGTGACCTGCAGTGTGTCAGCCATTTAATGTGTCGCCTAATCTCATCTGGAAGAGAAGCCACAGATCTGGAAGCAGTAAAGCGTCATACACTCAGCGGTTCACCTCCTGAACCTGCGCTTTACGGCCTGCAGGTCTGATGTGCTTAATCAGCGGCACCTGAAGTCAAGTGGCTTTTCAAAGCAAGACAAACAGGCTTGTTTCTTGTCATCTCGCCCCCCCCAGTTTGCCTTTAATTCACTTTTCTGCTGCATGAGTAGCCATATCGGCCCTTTGGCGAAGCTCTTAATGTCGCTGAGAGCGCGTCGCTGTGGTTACCCCCAAAGCTTTGTGTCCGTCTCAGTAATCTTTTCCCCGGAAGGCCTCTGTGACTGAGTGCTCCCTTTGAAAGGGCCTCCCCTCTAATTCTGTGTACTGTCAGCCTATAAAACACAGTGCTGTCAGCGTTAAATGGGAACACGGATCTCGGGGCCGGCGCTGTGTTTGCACTGCGTGGCGTCGCCCATCACATGTGGAACATTTAAAGTGGAGAAGTTTTCTTAAGGTTCGCAGCTGGGGTGGCGGTCCTAACCTTATGCATCGCTGTGTCTCTCCTTCTTGGATAAGCGATGTTCTTGTAATTTTTATTAATGAAAACTTTACACTCCAAACACAAGCGTCTGCCTTTAAGCGCATAACGAGTTGCAGCTGGAGCAGCAGCAGTTATTCTGCAAAGATGCCGCCAGTTATACAGTTTTTATAACCTCCCAGGACTCGACATGAGCACCCTCTGTATCCAGGGACATTTACCCCCCCTGTTTACTGTGACTTTGACCTTTTGCATTTCAAACAAATGGCAGTGTGTATAAATAAGTTAACCAGACCTCTTGGAATTTAACCGAATACTTGGATTACTTTACTTTATACTTTATTCAGTCCCATCACTGGGACATTTGTCTTGGACAACGTGCAAAGTCAGTACATACAAAAACAACAAACATTAAAAACAAAATAGAAACAAGTGGAGACACAAAGGCAATCAATGCATACAATGATAGAAAAGAGAGGTAAGTACATGTAAGACACAATTTTATCTCTATTTAACGCTATGATTGCAGTGGAAACAGGGGTAATAACTTTTCAGCAAACAAATCTAAACTTGAAGCCACTGAGGGCTGCGTAGACGGGCTTCTAGGTGACGTGCTCGCCGCACCGCCATTAGCCTACTAGCGTCTGATGAAAGTCTGCTCCATCCCTTTTTGTTGTCGAGATTTATTGTTCACCGTTAACGGCCTTCAGCTAAATGCGAGAATCCCATCGCACACTCCATAAAGGTCCGTTTAGTCAAACGTTTCCACACCACACAGAGTAACGCTCGCCAAGCGTATTGTGTCTGGCTCAGGGGTTAAAAAACTGTAGGTGCTCCCCCTCGTCTCCTCTAGCAACACGTGTCACCTGATTAAAGGTTCCCACCCGAAGCAGAAAGGTGACACCTACTGGACCCACTAGTGTTCTGCACACAAGCCAAGAAAAACCGTACAGAAGCTAAATAAAAAAATACCACAATGTGTTGATAAGGCGCAAAAGGATTTCAGTTAATCTCTCTAAAATATCAAAATGTCCACATGAAACGTCTCAGACCGCTGCAGCAGCATGATCCGCCGCCGTGATCGGTGTGGTGCAAACCTATTTGTGCCAGATATGCCTCGGCGCACAGCTTCTTTTTGTTGGCAGTTCATTTTGTATGGCTGGCGGCTAACGTGACTTAACATGTCAAGTAGATGCTTCTAGACTTTCATGTCTTAAGGTCTGATTTTGTAACCCATCTTGGGCACGTGATCATGACAGACAGGAACGAGCCGTGGCCCTACCCTAAACTGTCTCTTACTGATCCAAAGAAGGTTAAAATCAAGGCCAACTGGACTCGGTTGAAGGTGCTCGAAGACCTTATCCTTGTATAACCATGACCTGGATGACTGAGAACCTTTTAAAAGCTTTTTATAGGTAGAGTTTGTTGCATTTGCCACTGCTCTAAACGTCACACCTATGCCCTATACAGAGGAAGATGAGCAGTATCTTTATACTGTAGCCGTTCCTCTGGACACATGGGAACTCGTCCTCTTCAGATCTGTCCTCAGAGCGAGTTTCCGGGCGGCAGCCGAGGCCTGCGACAGTCACAACAATGTCCAGCCTGTCCTGCTGCAGCCAGTTCGTGCCAGTGTCTGGCGCTGCGCTCACTCGCTGGCAACCCTCCTGCGATGGACGGAGAGCATGATACGCTGTCATACTGTCGGCCACAATGGACGGCTCTTTGTCCTCTTTAGTGTCTGTGTATCCCAGATGGTGTCCACAGTTTGATCTGCCTCCGTGTTGGTGATGGAGAGAGTGGCTGAACAATGTTTAAAGGAAGGAGAGTCTTCTCGGATAAATTTAGAAATAACAGACGGATTAAACGTGAGACTTTGCAACCCCAGAGACACAGTCAGGCGTCAGGTTTGCTCTCTGCCTCATTAGGAAGCTTGTTGTAGCTGCTATGTAGAGACAGACGGGAGCTAAAAGCGAGTGCTCAGATAAAGGAAGTGAACACAAGTTTTAAACCTGAAAATGAGCCTAAAATGGGGCCTGGGACAATCTGAACACCCTGCTTGCATTTCTCTCCACCTTTACCGGTGATGAAAGGGTGAACAGTTGGTTTCCCCCAACACCTCCTCCTCTTTCTTCCTCTCCCTTCTCCTCACACGGCGCAGGATTGTGGACTCGGTCCAGTTTGAGGCTGAGAATGTGGAACAACATGCCACCACTGGAAATAATGAATCGACTGTACGTCATCTTGGCACCGCAGCCTCGGCTCGCTGAAGGCCTCGCAGTGCCTGTGTTGTTGTTTTTTTTTTTTTTACAGGGCAGATTAAATGGCTGGGCCTTGCAGAGAGAGCCTGCAGGTCACATGTGTCCTCATAAACAGTCCTGTGTTACTTCAACACGCTCGGTTTGAGCTGCAGGAATGTGAAACGTGCAGACGGCTAATGCATCGAGCTGTAGGAGCAGAAGTTAACCTCGGGGGGAATCGGAGTACAGCTTTCGTATCTTTTGAGTGTTAGTTTGCAGTAGATCTGAAACAAGACAAGGAGACACTGAAGGACTGATGTTTACTTCCCACCACCGCCGGGCGCTCCTCTGACCTGATAAAGAGATTAAAATAGATGACCGTAGTTCATAGTATGAACTCTTTTTGTGACCAGACTAATGCAGCGTGGTGTGTCCCAGCTGTGGAGGTGTCCGTCGGCGTCCTGTCTCGGTCCAGCCTCCCTGCACTCTGATCCTGTTACAGCCGGCCTCCAAATAATTCATCAGGCCTTCAGCTTCTGCCGCAGCAGCTGGTATATTTATCCCTCTGGATGAATATATTATTTAAAGTATCGGGGCTTGAAAACAAGACTGAAATAATCTGAGAACAGAAAGAAAGACGTTGAATAATTTTCACAGCTTTTGAAGGGAAGTATGAAGTCCAAGCAAAACGGTAACTTGAGGTAGTTAGGGTCAGGTATCGTTTCGATTTTTTTCGATTACGATTCTACTTATCGAATTTGGTTCCAACCCCTTCACCGCAGATCTTGTCAGCGTTCATCTTCCCCTTCGTCCCGGCGTCTCTGGGGAAAAATATATATTGAATCATCTGTAGACATCATTGGTTTCCTTTCAGTTTAAAGGGTGAACGTCAGCTCACCTGTGTTTGGTTCCCTGTTCCTTCAGATTCACGCCGTGTTGAAGTAAACGCTTCGTCACGTTGGCGTTGCTTCCTCCCTCGCACTTACTGCAGCTGTTTAGTGAAGCTAAACTTTGGAGCGTTTGCTGCGGTCCGTCCACGGTCCAGGACGTAACACGTGAGGTGACGTTCGGTCGGCGTAACGGCTCCTGGCAGATAAGAGACACTTTGATGGGCTGTAAAATGCTCACTGCAGTTCAGTCAGGAGCTGAGATATGCAAAATCCAAACGCACGGGTCTTATCGAATCCACGGTTCTTGAAAATTCAAAACCGCATCAATTTGTTGGGTATTTCCCTACAAAAACATAAGAATAAAACCATTTCCTTTGTTAATGGTGGTTTACTTTCAACTTTAATATCATTGTTTGTTTATCAGAAGTTTATGTTCAAACATAAACCTAATTCTAAACTTTTTCTTCGATTCTTTCACCCTAAGAAGTAAAATTCAATACACTATAGTATCGCAATATTTTCCCTGGCATTACTGTATCGATACATGGACGCCAAGTAGTGATCTTTTATTATATAAATCGCACAAGAGAATTTAACTTTTTGGTACTAGAGTGATAAAATGTATTGTAACTCAACAGCACCCTCTAGTGGACTGAAAAGTGAGATAGACCGACATAAAACAGACAAAGTTTTCCTTTAGGGACATAATGTGAAGTTGGAAAAAAGCTATTATATTGCAATATGTTAAAAATAGCAATAAGTATTGTGATAATATCATATCAGCCTCTGGTGACTAAGAAGGATAGCAGACTAATCAACAAATGAAATTCACAGGGAAGCCGTGGACTTACAAAATATTCCAGACTTGGTCCTGTATTTTGATGCCTGATGATGTACTTGCTTGAGATTTTTGACTTAACGATTGATGATGGTCAACTTAATAATTTCTTTTTGTCCCTTTCTTTGCAGACGTTTTTGGCTGCTGTCAATCAAGTCTTCCCTGCAGAGGATGATGTCAACAAGCATGTGGAGGATAACTGTACGTTTCATCTTTAAAACTTGTCTCTAGGATGAAAAATACTTTTTTTTTTTTTTTTTTCCACTAAAATGTCAGATCATGCTTGTTTTTAATCTAAATATTAAATCATTACAGTTTAACCTCTGACATCTCTCAGGACAAATGTGAAGCTGCACTGGACACAGCTCTTGCATCTCATCTAAGTCAATCCCATATTGTTGCGGTCGTAGAAACGTTTATCAAAATGACGGCCATCCTGCCTTCATCAGGGCTGTATCTGTTTCTTTATACACAGTCCAGTGTGACCTATAGATCAGCAGTATTCAAAACAACATTTTCACCATTCTTTCTTTTAAAAACACTTAATACCATATAGGTGACCATAAAAACAGAATAAATATTATCGCGTCCTTCTCTTTAATGTATGATGATTTAACATCAATCTTCTTTACATTTTTTGCCACGAAGGTGTCTACATATATTTAAAATCATGACAATTATTAAATATTTGGTATAAGCAGGGGAAAAGTTGATGTATAATGATTTTATAGAAGTTTTTTTTTAACCACGAAGGTATCCAGAGGGTACAAACTGCATAGATAAGAGTATAAATGACATGTGAGAATAAATTTTGCTAAAAAGAAGAGTTCCTGCAAAATTTCATGCCACAAGCTGTAAAACAGCCAAAATTATCACAAACTCAAAAAAAAGTTAAGAAAAATGCCTGAGGAGGACAAAAGTGCAGAAGAGGATTAGGGCCACGTGTGAATTTTTTTTTTTTTAAATTCTGAGATTAAACTCAGAATTCTGACTTTTTTTCTGAAAATTCTGACTTTTTTTCTGAAAATTCTGACTTTAAACTCTGACTTTAAAAATTTCACTCGTGGCCCTGATCCATCCTGCACATAAGGGTTAATATTAATATATAAGTCTTTGGTTGATCCACGGCTTGAACGTATTTGTCGTTATTATCAGGCAGCTTGCGTTATTTATTGATACACAGGTGTCATTTACACTGGTGATGCTGGGACACTGGGGACATGTCCCCACCACATTTTGAAATGGCTGATTTTGTCCCCATCACTTTTTCAAAGCTTCTGTTAAAAAAAATAATGGCACAAAGAAATGTTAACTAACACTAACAAATAAAAGAAAACATGCAATGCAGACTATAGAAGAAACAACTGTGCATTGTCCAAAAAAGAAGGTTAACTTAAGCTAAAAAAAATAAATAATTAGTGCATTATATTCTGTTATAGTTTTATATTTATGAATTGTCCCCTGGCAGCTGAACTTTTTGTTTCCTTTTTATATAAATAAACACATTTACACCGTAATCTGAGTGTTTAATGCTCAAAAAGGATCCCCCAGACCCCCCCGCTCATATATTTCAGCATCAAATCAAAAATCTTCTTGTCTTGTTGCCGTGCATCATCTCGTAACCCAAATGTATCATCACGCTCCTGATCTGGGCCCTTAGTGGCGCCCTTGTATTGATATATTTATTGTTGCAGTAACTTTGTCCCTGTTTGTGTCTCTCAGGTTCTTTGATGTACTTGAATGAAGCCACTCTGCTCAACAACGTTCGTGTGAGATACAGCAAAGACAAAATTTATGTAAGTGCTGACACGAGGGCGGAAGTTGAAGTTCACAATGTTGTCATGTTATTATGGATGTTATGTCTCATCTTTACTGCTTCTGTTAAAGATACGTAGAATCAAAATATCGAGAGGAAGGGAGAAAGATTATAATAACAAACAATTCCAGAAACCTCAAAGACAGGACAGGAGAGAGGACATTTCTAGAACGTGAGGACAAGTTTGACACATGCCTTTGGCGTGGGAGACGAGGACTGACGATGGGAGAGTTGTGCAAAGGAGTTTCACACAGGTGCATAAGAGATTCATAATTATGCAAGTAATACCGTAAGTTATCCGTAGAATTTGAAATAGGGGTCTTTTTTTATGAGATCTGTTAAGCGGTTTTAAAAAATGACACATTTGCAAGGGAAGCCTTCTGCTGATGAAGATCAAGCGGATCCCAGTTTTGTTAAGCGTGTCTGATGGCAGTCGAGAAAAACCGTACCGCTGTGGGCTCAGGTGTGTTTTCTCCTGAGCTTCATCATCCTCTGATGTTTTTTTTTTTTTTTTTTTAAAAACCTGTCCTGCCCAGCAGCCTGGTATAGAGTATAATGACCTGGATACCATATTGTGCCAGACAGATTTTACTTTAACAAGAGAGTATTAAAATACTCCTTTGTCTGTTTTATTATTTATTTAATTATGTATTGATTTGTCACCGGGCCGGACAGGGGGGCAGACACGGGGATGGGGGGGCACAAACAGACAGCACAGAGAAAGGACAACACCTGCAAGAGAACAAGAGGGGGGCTTGGGGAGGAGAAAAACAACAACAAACAAACACAAACAAAAAAAACAATAAAAATAATAATAGTAAAAGAAAACCAGCCGAACAGCAGCAATAAACAGCTGACATATTAATGACATATTAAGACAACTAAGAGAACAATGAAAACAAGAAACAGTCACACACACTAAATAAGCAACACAACACAGCCACGAGAGTTGGAATAATAATTAATTTAAATAAGTAACTGAAAGAAAGGCATCAGGAATAATTCTACCAGGGACAACCTAAGTTTGTTTGTGTCTGTGTGTGTCTGTGTGCGTGTGGGTGAATGTGTCTGTATGTGTGTGTATGTACATGTGTGTGCGCATAAGCCTGTTAAAGAATGTAGTTGTTAGTGAGAGTGGGACGCCACGACTGTAACAGGCAGGCAAGAACCCCAGTAGCCAATAGGGGTGGAAGAAAGAAAAAGAATAAATCAAATCAAAAAAAAACAAAGACTCCCAGATGCACCGCGATGCAAACGCAGAAGACCCCGACCCAAATGCCAGTTGACAACGTAATGCCGACGGAACGCAAAAGAGGAAGAGCAGCGCCCGGACCGACCGCGTCGCAGACACAACATAGACCAGTGGCCTCCCCCATCCAGCACCCCACCGCCGCGCAGCAAACAACCACAATGCCCAAATGCCACGCAATCATCAACACCAATGCACAAGTGACGAGCCCAACGCGCACACTGCGCGAGCACGGCGACACCCATGCCCAGCAGCCCCCCGCGAATCCCGCGTGCGAGGTCGGGCAAATGAGAGAGAGCAAACGGAACAACACGACAGCGAAAGCCAGCGGAGAGAGACACCAGCAGCAAGCCCCAGCCCGGCAGCAAACGCGCCGCACAGGTCACCGTGCACCCGCCAATAAAAGTCCACCGTCCCCCCAACTGCCGGAAAAAACTAAGGCCGCCGGCGCCAGCCGACATCCCCCATGCCCAGCGCGCCCCCCGGCCGCCATGCAACACCAGCCAAACCAGCAACGAGGCAAAATCAACTAGCTCAGCTGCATGCCACCAACAACCCACCCATCCATCAAGGGCCGAGAACTCCAGGCACAAACCCAGAACAAACCGGAGCACAGCCCTGCCCCGCACCCACACTGCACATCCCGAAAACTAACTATATACCTCAGTATCCTCTGATGTGACTCACCTGGTGCAGGCTGTGATTCAGACTCGGTGCACGCTGACATCTAGTGGCTGAATGAGGAAGTGACAGAAAGCCTTCTCATGTAAGGGAGGCCTTTTTGATGCTCTTTGTGGCATTGAGGTTCTGGGAAATGTAGGAAAGCACTAAAGGAGGCCGGATAAAGGGAGCATGGTTGGGAAAATTAAATGAAAACATATCTGCTGAAAACTGAAATCTGCTGCCGCTGTTGTTGGTTTCGTCACCTGGAAAATGTTTGTGATTTTTGCTCTTCAGCTTCTTCTTCTTCTTGTGCTCTTCCAGACGTTTGTAGCCAACATCCTGATCGCAGTGAACCCGTACTATGACATCCCAAAGCTTTACACGCCGGAGACCATCAAGCAGTACCGGGGCCGGTCGCTGGGCACGCTGCCGCCGCACGTCTACGCCATCGGTGGGTGAACAGCAAACGCACTCAACACAAGCTGAGATTAAGGGTTTGGTCTTGTTGTTTTACTTTTAATGTCTATAGGTTCAGTGTTTGTCCCTCCAGCGGAGTTCCTCTTCCCGTTGTTTGAGTGGACTGAATAGCTTTCTGCTGTCAAAGGGGAAAATCCACTGTGAGGCCTGAGAGGATAAATGATTGATTAGTCATCACCCAACACTTTATCCATCTGCAGCTGGCCTCATCAACAGGGCCCGGGACCCCCACTGACACTGACTCTCCTGGGCCCCCCCACAAAACCTCAGTTCATTAAGTGTTTGCACAGTTTTAATCCGATGCAGAAATACTGCCGTATTGCACATGGTCTCTGTTACTCTTTTGTAACTTGTACATCTTGTTTATTCCACATTTTTATATTTACAGGTGAAACTCAAAAAATTAGCATATTGTGCAAAAGTTCATTTATTTCAGTAATTCACCTTAAAAGGTGAAACTAATATTTTATAGACTCCTTACATGCAAAGTGAGATATTTCAAGCCTTTATTTGATATAATTTTGATGATTACTGCGTACAGCTTATGAAAACCCCAAATTCAAAATCTCAGAAAATTAGAATATTACATGAAATCAATTTTTAAAAAAGGATTTTAAATACAGAAGTGTCCTCTGTCCTCTGAGAAGTATGATCATGCAGATGTACTCAGCACTTGGTTTGGGCCTGTTTTGCATGAATTACTGCCTCAGTGCGGCGTGGCATGGACGCTATCAGCGTTATTGAAGACCAGGATGCTTCAGTAGCGGCCTTCAGCTCTTCTGCATTGTTCGCTCTCATGTCTTTCATCTTTCTCTTGGCGATGCCCCATAGATTCTCTACGGGGTTCAGGTCAGGCCAGTTCGCTGGTCAGCAGTAATCCCATGATCATTGAACCAGGTTTTGGTACTTTTGGCAGTGTGGGCAGGTGCCAAGTCCTGCTGGAAAATGAAGTCAGCATCTCCATAAAGTTCGTCGGCTGAAGGAAGCATAAAGTGCTCTAAAATGTCCTGGTAGACGGCTGCGCTGACTCTGGACTTAATAAAGCACAGTGGACCAACACCAGCAGATGACGTGGCTCCCCAAACCAACACAGACTGTGGAAACTTCACGCTGGACTTCAAGCATCTTGGATTGTGTGCCTCTCCGTTCTTCCTCCAGACTCTGGGACCTTGGTTTCCAAATGAGAATCAGAAAAGAGGACTTTGGAGCACTGAGAAACAGACCAGTTCTTTTTTTCTTCTGACGGTGTTTGTTGTTCAGGAGCGGCTTGATTTGAAGCCCGTGTCCAGGACCCGTCTGCGTGTGGCGGCTCTTGATGCAGTAACTCCAGCCTCAGTCCTTGTGAAGCTCCCCTGCACATTTGAACGGCCTTTTCCTGACAATCCTCTCCAGGCTACGCTCATCCCTGCTGCTTGTGCACCTTTTTCCTCCACTTAACTTTCTATTAATGTGCCTTGATACAGCACTTTGAGAACATCCAACTTCTTCTGCAATGACCTGTTGAGGCTTTCCCTCCTTGTGGAGGGTGTCAATGATGGTTTTCTGCACAGCTGTCAGGTCAGCAGTCTTCTTCCGCTGAACCAGACTGAGAGACCAATTTAACCCTTTGCAGGTGTTTTGGATTAATTAGCTGATTAGAGTGGGACACTTTGAGCCTACAATACTGAACCTTTTCACAATATTCTAATCTGAGATTTTGAATTTGGGGTTTTCATAAGCTGTACGCAATAATCATCAAAATTATATCAAATAAAGGCTTGAAATATCTCACTTTGCATTTAATGAGTCTATAAAATATATTAGTTTCACCTTTTAAGTTGAATTACTGAAATAAAATAACTTTTTCGAGTTTCACCTGTATATAGGTTCCTTGTAACACTAACGGGTCACATGACACCTGGGAGGGAAAATGGCTAATTGGGCCCAATTTGGACATTTTCTCTTAGGGGTGTCCTCACTTTTGTTGCCAGCGGTTTAGACATTAACGACTGTGTGATGTTTTATTTTGAGGGGACAGCAAATTTACACTGTTACACAAGCTGCACACTCACTACTTTATATTGTAGCAAAGAGTCATTTCTTCAGTATTATAACGTGAAAAGATAGAATCAAATATTTAGAAACATGTGAGGGGTGAACTCACTTTCGTTGCCAAAATATGCGGTGATGACCCTGTTTGATCAGTGTGCAGAGCAAAGTGTCTGAAAAGGATCTTTAAGAGGTGAATGCATAATTTGGCAGAGCAGATGATGAAGGCTACAGATTTGCATCCACCTCTTTTCTCAGAACAAGTGAGCTGCAAGACGCAGACAGCAGAAACAGCTGATCAGACATGAGTTACAAGTTATTATTCGGGAAAAAGTAAAAATAGTATTGTTTTATAAAAAGTAATCCAAACTACTTTGCAATAAAGCTGTTTATAATTCTGGTTTATTCACGTAAATAACTCGAGTAAACACAACCACACAAATGACTGGAAAATACAATAAAGAAGAAACATAAAGTGAAACATAAAGTAGACGTATCGCAGCACGGTCGCGTAAATATCTCCTCACTGACATTTAAATTGAGATCAATTTGTTTTGTACGTGGGGCTGCACAAATTAAAATCTATAAATGAATAGTATAGTGTTGAAAAACCAGTTATCATCACACTGATTGATACTCTATAGATATAAAGATCCGAGTCTAAGCTTAAAGAAGTCTTTTGATATTCTATGTTTTTCATATCACATAAAAACAGCAAAAACAAGTATTGTCTCCTTTGCATGTTCATTAAAAATCTCCTTTTGTAAAGTCCGATCTGTCCACCAGGTGGCAGTCAGCGCTCAGATTTCCCACAGTCCTCTGAACATCACAGTTGCTTCCATCATCACTCTGACTGACTCGTCGCCTTTATTTGACAGGGTGTGGAGGGAAAAATAAAAGTTTTGGAGTTTAATATCTGCTTGATTATTGGGGTCAGGTTTGTGTCCTTGAGGCAGAGGAGAGTTTAATCTAACAGTCGCTTCTTGTCTGTGTTGCTTCCCCCAGCCGATAAGGCGTACAGGGACATGAAGGTCCTGAAGATGAGCCAGTCCATCATCGTCTCAGGGGAGTCTGGAGCCGGGAAGACCGAAAACACCAAGTTTGTGCTCAGGTGAGGATGACGCTGCATCTTTATGCGCCGCGGAGACGCGAGTCTCTGACAGGGACACGTCTGAGGATCACAGGCTTCAGTGCTTGAAAAGTTTTTCTCTTCAACTTGGTCACATATTTTGAAGTTTTTGAATTATTTGTCTCTTGTAAATCGTTGCATCTTCATCAACAGGTATTTACGCTGAGTTTATTTTACCCAATTTAATCTTAATTTAATTCTGCATGAGTTAATTATGCACATCATGTCAGCTTTTGCAGCACGTTGTCAGTGATCTTCAGACAGTCAGTGTTATTAATAGATACACATATTGGAGTTGGGCTAATTTTTTGGAGGGGAAAAAAGTATTTTGACGGGTGCAAATTAGGTCTGAGCCACTGGCTGAAGCCATCTACCTCACTGATTCGTACTTTTTGTACACACTAGGAAGGCTGCACGGTATAGTAAAAAAAATAAATAAATCACTTTTCAATTATTTTGACTGATATTATGATTTGCAATGTAACATACAATTAATGGGAATTATCACAATTTTCATTTTCTTACATCTAGTGATGTAGATGTGTCGACAGGCGTCTCTGCAGCACTACAGTTCTTCATTATAATGCTCTTATGTTACCTAACCTAAAAAAATACAGTTTATCGCACTTGGCCGTACTGCGATTTCAATAATATTTCTATAAATTGAGCAGCCCTACCTCACTGGTCGCTGTGACCCCAAAATATGTGAAAATAGGGCCCAGGTTTAAAACGAAGGGGTAACTTACAGGGCAGATAAGTGAAGCTAACCTGGAAGTACCAAAAACCTGCACTTCATCAAATAGCCCCTTGAGGCCGGCTCCAAAAAGCGAGTCAATCCCAACAGAGACCCCCCCCGTGTCAACATGGCCAACTTTCCAGCAGAAATAAACATGTTTACAGCTTGGTCCAGAAAACGGTTTCATTTTCAGGGCCGCAGGAAACCACGTGAACAGAAGTCGTTCATAAAAATGTAGTTATGTCAAATACATACAAATATTTTAGATGAGTCTGATTACTGATTGATTTTTCTAATACTTAGTCTCAGTATACAGTACCTCGATGAGCCATAACATTATGACCGCTGACGGGTGAAATGAGTGAATTCACGGCGACAGGGTCATGGGCGGCCAAGGCTCATTGAGGCACAGACAAACCAGTTGATGCTGGTTCTTATAGAAAGGAGTCAGAACACACAGAGCATACAAAGTGGAGTCCAGGCGTCGACTGGTCAGGGCCGTTTTGGCAGCAGCAGGTGGTCATAATGTTATGGCTGATCTGTGTTTATAGATTTGATAACGTAGAAGGTTTCTACTCCCTCTGATTTTAAAGTACAAGTCAACAAAACCTCAAACTACAACCTCAGGAACACAGAGTGGAATCAGCCCTGAGCACAGATTTTTAAAGGCAGCGTTTGGCGTGAGTGTTGCTGCTGTCACGTCCGTCACCCTCTCCAAGCGCAGCCTACGGTCCCCGGACTCCAACGCTAAACTCTCCTCTGCTGTATGTTTCTCCCGACAGATACTTGACAACCTCCTATGGAACAGGTCAGGACATCGACGAGAGAATAGTGGAAGGTCAGATTCGCCTCCTCTCCTCCTTACATGAGCTGCAGCTATTGTTTATACTGTATGAATTTGTGTTTGTGACTCCAGTTTTTCCGCCTCTGATCACGCAGCAAACCCGTTACTGGAGGCTTTTGGAAACGCAAAAACTGTCCGGAACAACAACAGCAGTCGCTTCGGAAAGTTTGTGGAGATCCACTTCAATGAAAAGGTACTTTAAACAGTTTTTATGTAAGAATAATAAGAACATTAAACTTCAGAGTTTGTCTCATGAGCAGCCTGCAGATGATGTTTTACAATGAGAAGGAATGAATTAAATATGATGCCTAATAGCTGTGGCGATTTAGCATGAGCTGTTTTATATTGATCTTTCTATGCAGTGTATGAATATCTCTGCATTCATGAATAAACACAATAATCCCTGTATCATCTCAGATGCTTACACAGCAACAAACAAACAAACTCTGATGAGGCCTCTGTTTTGTCTGTTGCAGCTCTGTCTGCAGACCTGCGTGATATAAATCAGTCCCATTTATTGTTCATTGACTCATTGTGACCTGTAATCCTTAATATTTCCCAGTTTCATACTTTATTAACTGCAGTTTTCTGCATGTAAACCAGTATAAAATCTGATATTTCCATCTAAATTATGTCAATAATTGGACGTGAGGTCGACGTGCCCTGACGGATGTTATGAATGCAGTCTGCTGGGTATTAAAATGTGTTTCCTGTCTGTGTGTCAGAATGCCGTCGTGGGCGGCTTCGTGTCGCACTACCTGCTGGAGAAGTCCAGGATATGCAGACAAAGCCCAGAGGAGAGAAACTACCACATCTTCTACCGACTGTGTGCCGGCGCCTCCGAGGACATCAGGCAGAAGTTCCACCTCAGCTCGCCGGACACGTTCAGGGTACGGACACAGCAGAGTTTCTATTTAATTTCATACAGTTTTTATCTCATCTAGGGATGTCGTAACACCAGAAATTTAGTAGTCGATACAAGGGCTGCGCGATTTTAATCTGATCGCAGTTGCAATCGCGGTGTCATCCTGTGCGATTACATAACCGCAAATAGGTGCGATTTAGTGCCGCTAATTCTTTAAAACATAGTCAGACTGAGAGGAAGGTGGTTTGGTCGCCGGCCATTTAACGTTAGCTGTGTCGGTGCCTTTTGTTGTTCAACATGTTCGACTTTTCATAAAGCCGATGGGCTCGTCGGTCACTTTTTATCCACGGATTAAAAGTTAAAGATTTCCTTCAGCAAACTTTCAAATGTTAAACATTATGATTATTAACGAGTTAGGGACCGATGCCAAAGGATGTAATGAATTAAAACAACCCGTAGAAATAAAACAGCTGGAACTGGATTTAATATTCTGGTGTAAAATAGTATAGTAAAATACTGACAACACTGCGTAGTGCGCAGTTCATATGTCCGAATATAAAACCCCAACACAACATGTCTCAGCAGCTTTGTGATTCACATTAGAATAGTTAAAACTTAAGTGTTGATGGTCGCGCTGGTCACGTTCAGGGGGGTTTGTTTGTCCTCCCCCTTGAAAATTTTACTTTTCCCAGTGGAGAATATGTAATTTCACATCATAATTTTCCACCATATTGCTGAACAAATAGTTGGAAAAGCTCGAGCATATAATAAATAAACACACAAAGATCAGTCTGCTGGGGAGGAACTACAACCTTTAGATTTGGGGATTTAGTATTTTGGCTGATTATGATGTGATTTTACATTTACTTTCAATAAATTGAGCTAATTCTGCTCAGCGGCACAGTCTGAAGGGGAGGGGAGATGTTTGCTATCACTTGTCCAGCAGTTGGGGAAACAACAGACAGACTTTTCTTAGTCTTTAGAGCACACCGTAACCGACACATACATTTACTGCCAGAATATTTTGCTCGATCGTTCACCGTCGCTTTTTGCCGCTCGGACAATCAAACACTTCGCAACGCGCCTGCCGAAGAACGAGGAGAGGAAGCGAGCCAAGCGATGAGTGTGAGCATGAGAGGACAGATCTGTTGACAAAAATGTAAAATATTAAGTTAACTTCACCCCGGTTTCCAAACACAACTCTGAGGTTCTGTAGGAAAAACGAGGATCGACTTGGTACTGAAGTCTGGAGTTTCATAAACCCATGTGGGCCGGACGCGCATGGATATAAATCAGTCACAGAGACGTGGATGAACGCCACAGATGGATGATGGATGGGCAAAGCAGGGCGCAGTATTGATCAGGGAGCCCTTCCATCAAGTAGAAGACGTGGATCTTAAGAATCAGTCTGGTGATATTTCATATTTTTCTTCTTGTCAAGAAGTGAAAACCAGCAGAACGGATCTCCTAACAAGTCCAGTGTGTGATGTCTCTTCTTCCTCTGAGCCTCAGAGCTCCCTTGTTGTCCAGAAACTATAAAACCCCATCAGTGAGCCTCACTGCTGCACCGGGTCACATGTTCCTTCATCACCACGAACACAAACACACACTGTAGTTTATTCTGACTCCGAGCAGAGGAGGATCAAACGGCCGTGTTCGCCATCAGGGTTGTTTACCGTTAAACACAAATTGTTCACCTCCAGTTACAAACGGCGAAATGTACAGTGATGGCTGCAGTGAAAGTGGGTAATGCTCAGGTAATAGTTTCTACATTTCTGCTGCTGCTCAAATGAACGAGGACGGAAGTATTGATCTTTGGCCGTCAGAGTTCAGTGTGTTGAAACGCTCGAAGAAACCGCAGAGTTTAAAGTACAGAAACTAGATGTAGCAAAGAACCAAACTTTATTTCTTTATTTATATATTTGTTGATTCCCACAGAAAAATGACTATATATACAGTCTATATTCACCCTTTGAACCCAAATAATGCAAATTGCTCACATTCTTCTCAGACTAATACCACAGAACAAATTGCATTACAACAAACAACTGTTTTGAATTCACTTTCACTAGTCAACTCTTCAGAAAAGCCGCTAAAATATGAGAACTCCACTCTGTTCGCCAGCTGGTCTCTAACTGTGTCTGTCTGCTGTTTGCTGCCGGGCAGGTTCGTACGGTGGGTGGGTTGATGAAAACAGCTGCTGGAAATGCGGCGAGACGCTCTGAGGCCTAAAGAGAACAGTCGTAAAATCAAAACTATGAGCTAAGAGAGGCTAAAAAGCTGCGCAGAGCTGCAGTGTGACACCTTGTGTTTGATCCAACCTTTAACTGTAGAATGTAAAACTGTAAAAGTCAGTTTAAAACAAAACAAGCGTTGAGTTAAAAGACGGAGAAAGAGAATTACAGAAACAAGACATGTTGGTAGATTAATGCAATAACGAGTACACTACAAAGAAAAGAAACATTTTATTAAAATATAATAATAACTCTACCCGTGTTTATATATATTTTGCAGTATTAGATGCACAGAGTTGTATATGTAGGGGTGTAGGTGACAGGAAGTGATGCACACAGTTCACCAGACCAGAACACGCTTCAACTTTCAACAACAGATATGGAAACAAACGGGGTTTGTTCATCTCTTTTCTGCAGCTGCTTGCTACTGCAATAAACAGTAACCTCGACTGGAAAATCTATTTTGTGGACATAAAATCCTGCCTGTGTGTAATGGCAACTAGAAAAAAGACTTGTAATAAACAAAAAGCATGAAGCAGATGCTTCCTTTTTCTTTGACCTTAGGCCAAAATTCGATCTTGAACAGGCTTTTTCTTTGCCCACCTGGTTCTCTCAGAAAAGAGCTGAGTCATACTCATCTGTTGGAGGAGAGGATAAATGTTTTTTTTTTTTTTTTTTACAGAGTCATCCCTTTGGTGGCAGCATCACAATTCAATAGTCTATTCTCACCTGCGTCATTGTCGGGCCGACGCTCGTTCTGCAGCTCCCCCCCCCCCCCCGCAGCTTATTACACCTCCCACAGTCGGTTCAACCGCTTCTAATGGCTTCATATATCTACTGTATCGTCTTCTGGTGGGAAAAGTAAAAAAAAGATCCAGTGAGTTCCCGTAGAAGCAGCCGTGATGAACTCCTTAAGTTTAGATTGTAAGCCAGAGGGGGAGCGGCGGGGTGCGTTCAGGATAAGACATGAAAGAGCGATGCAGCAGCAAACACTTTAAGATGTGAGAGGTGTGTGTTACTTTGTGTGTATGCAGTGGTGCAAGAAGCACTCGGATTCCTTTTACTGGCGGACAAGTGGGAAAGTAATCAAAGTAAATCAAGACAGTTTATTTATAAAGCACATCTAAAAACAGACGATGTTGAAGAAAGCGCTGTACAATGTTAAGTAATTATAAAAACTGACTAATCGGATAAAACATACAACAATAAATAGAAACACAAAAGGTAAGCACGAGTGTCCTTGGACTGACTCGAACGCCATATAGTGAAGAATAGTAGATTTTAAGTTGAGGACGGTGGTACGCTTTTAAGTCCCCTTAAGAAGGCAACGATGCAAAGTAGGAAAGAAGAAAGGAAACGGACACAACGACAGAAGAGAGGAAAGATGGTAATAAAGGAGGATACAAAGGTGGAAAAAAGGAAGTCATTGAGAAAACACAAGAGGAAAGAAATGACAGGAATGAATGAAGGAAACGTGAAGAAGAAAGGAAAGAAGACAGGACATTAAGGACACAAAAAAGGAAAGATGGAAGGAAGGACTAAAGAATGAAGGAAAAGAAGAAGGGAAAATAGGACTGAAATGAAACAAATATACAGCGATGGGAAGAACAGAAGGAAGGACTGTGAGTAAGGAAAAAGAAAGACGGGATGAAGGAAAGAAAAAAGGTGGAAGGAAATGAAGCAAGGACGGATGAAATGTGAGCTTACCTCACATTAAATGTCTTAACTCTGACCATCAGAAAAAGGTAATAGCACAATATATCTCTCAAAGGCGTTGTGGAGGGAGAGTGAAAGGAAAAGTACTCAAGTATGTTCTGGCGTAAACAGACTCCCTTTCCTGTGTCTGGAGGGGGAGAGAGCGCACAGGAGCCTCGCGGGCCATTAGCCATTAAAACGGGTACAGAGTCGGTTTACAGAGGGGACGTGACTATTTAATTATTGAGACGAATTCCGAATAGTGTCCACGCTGGTAGATGGCAAATCACTCGGCCACCGGTAATTTTATGGTTTTCAACTTTAAAGGCCTTCAAACTAAATGCTTGTCAGATTGTTTTATCGGATTGTCAGTGCTGTGTCTGACAATATTTTGTTCCTCTCTCCATCGTTGAACAGTTCTAAGCACTTTTTGTCTTTAGCACAGACGTCGTACAAACCAGTTTATTTCAAGCATTTGCGCTCAAGGACTTCAAGTGTCATTTCGGCCTGTTTTTAAACCTCACATATTTTAGTAGCTACAAAACGTTTTGGAATCTGTCTTCAACCGGAAGCCGCTTAAACCGGCCGCAGTGGCTGCCACGTATTGTGAGTTGTTGCAGGAAGACGACGGTGGAAACGAGGGAGATGAGTTTGTTGTGTGGCGGAGACTATATTTGCGAACGTTAGTCCATCAGAACAAACTCCTCTCTCAAACTCAGACTCACGAGGTTTCAGAGCGATAATTGTCCTTCAGCCTTCAGTTTCCTGTTAGAAACCAAGTGGGTCACCGGGAGTTCCTCGGGTTCATTTCCACGATGTTGTCAGATGGCAACAAGAAGCACTGACGGATTCTAAACATTTTGTCCCTACTCATTTCAACACAAACATGTGAAAATAGTTCCCAGGTTTAAAAATTACAAAATGACCCTTTAACCTCCAAAGCGTGCAGCTACTTTCCTGCTAAGACCTTGTGCAGTTCCTAATGTCAAACAGGTTTGTTGCACTTGATTGGATTTTGCAGACTATTAAGTGTAACTTTATAAGAGCTGTTTTCATTACTTGGTCAAGCAGTAAATCTGAAAGAATAAAGGACACTCTTTTGAGGACCACCATGTACATGTTTGAGACAGGGAGGACACATGAAAGAGGAGTCAAAGGCTACGTGCAGGCCAAAGTGACTCAAATCCAACTTTTTTTGCTGTTCCAGTTCAGAATTGGGCCACTTCCATATGTGCAGTTCTGCTGCAGAGCGAAACATCTTCACAAAAGCCATTTTTAAACACGTGGCTCTCTTTCTCCTCTACTTCGCTATCATCTGCTCACAAATTCCCGTTCTTACGCCTGAAATCCACCGGACCGCGAGCTCTCTTCGGAGTTATGTGCGTGCTGCCTGTCTGAGCGGACACAGTGGGGGGGAGTTTTGAAGCAGTTGCGTTGTCCAGCGCCATGAGAAGAACAGAAAGTTGGGAACACTTGTCATAATTCGGTAGAAATGTGAGCCGTGAGAGGACAATGAAAAACGGGAATCTCCCGTGAGCTAACCAGAGCTAACCTCTGTGGCTCCGTCTTCACTTCTGTAGCGTGCAACAGCGTGCTGACCCCACAGAGGTTAAATAGCTGCGGCCCCCGCCAGGCTGTCACACCATATGAAGCCTCTCAACGTCTTCTAGTATCTTCAACCTGTCCTGTTGCCCTTGATTTTATCGGATTACTTGGTCAGTTTATTAAAAAGTTAGCAGTTTATGCTCTACGGTCCTGCCGTTAAAATGTACATTAAACTGGTTTTCACACTCTCACATGAACGTTTTAATAGTGCAGCAGATTCACAGCAACAGAAAAGAAAGACAGACGTCGCATTAATCTGTCAGGTGACGCTGCATTAACTGCATTAACACAAGTGTTTTTTCTGTTTGAACTCCTTGTCATGTTTATGTTTTACACACAGTAACAGCTGTTTTCTTTTTTTTATTAGATCTGTTCTGTAAGTAAAGTTTACAGTGGTGTTATAGTTGAACGAGGTTCAGTGTTGATCGTTGCTTTTTGTTCTCTTTCTGTTTGTTGCAGTACCTGAACAGAGGATGCACTCGGTTCTTTGCTTCCAAAGATACAGACAAACAGATCCTGCAGAATCGCAAGAGCTCGGAGGTACAGCACACCACAGCCTGACTCGGTTTCATTCCATCACTTCATCTTGTTTTGTTTTTCTGAACCATAATTCATAGAAGAAACGGATGAAGGATAAGTCCATAGAAGAAAGTTCCATTAATATTTTATTCAATATATTTATTATTCAAGGTCAAAGAAAGTTGGTTCTGATTAAATTATATTTTCTTTATTTTTTTTTCTCAAGCCGTTCTTTTCAAGTTCCTTTTTATGTGTGCAAGACAGACTACCAACAGAAGACAGAGCAAGAGTGCACAGAGTGGATAACAGAGGAAGAAAGAAACATTGGGCGGCATCAGCTCAAGTAATAAGCAAAATATCTCAACTCGAGGTAGCTGCCTGCCACCCAACGTTAGCTGTTAGGGAAATGAGATTTTGACTAACCAGATAATTTGCCGAGCAGTTTATTTAGATGCAGAGCTCAGCCAGGATTGGTATTAATATGGTAGAGTTTAGATTTTTACAAGGTGAGTTATTCAGGTCAGTGAACTGCCTCAAGTCCCTTCTTTTATCACCTGTTCCTGATTATATTTGACTTTAATTTTCCTTTAATTATATTTTAATTCCGTCGGTTTCTTTCTTGTTTGGATCTGATTAAAACCTGATGTTGTTTATGTTTCTTCCCTAGTAGCTCACTTTGTAACATGGAGTTTTGAAAAGTGCTCTATAAAGATTATTGTTATTATAACAGGGCACATAAGTTACTAAGATCACTAATATATATATATTTTTTTACTCAGTTGAAGTAATAAATCAGTATATTCACAACAACAATTTCAGCTTCATAAGGGACTCGCAGGATTAATCCATTACTGACCCCACTCATCATTTGTTGTCAGTTTTTGTAAGTGATTAATTGCGATGCACACAAACACAAGTGCTGCATCTCTGCTGCATATTTTGTGTTTTACTGCAGAGCTTTTATGCAGCACTTTTGTCAGAATATACCATTACTGAGATTATCAAGCACAACGTCCGTTTAAACAAGCTTATTTTAATAAAGATGCAGCTGGGAGATGAAAATAGCGCTTATGAAAAACATGGATGATGTTTGACTGAGCTCGCCTGGCTCAGAGAGACTTTAATTATTTCAAAATAAGAAATAAAATAATAGCAAAGAGTGTTAAATGACTAAAATTAAATCCTAATCTGCAAAGTAAGTAAAAGTACTGGAGTGAAAGGTTCAACTTTTATCTCTGAAATGTATTCTAGTCGACGTGTAAGGGAGTCACAGGAACTTTAAAGTGTGCATTTGAGGATTATTATGTTGCTGTTGTTCCCTCTGTGTGTCTCTCAATCTCGGTTACAAGCTTATGCAAACTAAGAGCATAAAAAAGACAAACGAAACCTCTCATCGCCCTGTGGGGCCACAACAAACTGAAACAGTCACTCTGCAAACTCCATTAGCGCCTCCTTAAACTGACTCGGCAGATTCAATTTAGATTTACTGCCTCCAGCTCCGGTTTGGTTCTCACTTTTTCTCTCGGTGCGCAGGACAGTTTGCACCTTTGATTCGCACCCTGTCGTCTTCTCCGTTGCCTCCCTGCGCGCTGTTATCTGCTAATCCGTTACATACTCTTTGTCCTTCTCTTTCACATCCTGGTGCTGTTTGCTCAGCTTCTCCTCTCATCTCCTCTGCAGAACAGATTTATCAGCTGTGATTCTGATTATTGATGTCTGTGTGCAGCTTTGGTGAGTCTGTGTGTAAAACTCAAATCCTGCGATAAGACTGCTTTCTGCATCTGAGAATTTAAAAAGGAAATCAATGTTCTGTTTGATTTTCGGTTAGGTATCAAGATCCGGTTCCTAGTTTGACACGTTTGATAAGACACGCGTGTTTCGATTCTGGTTCCTAACTTTTAGCATATTTCAGTCGCGCTCCGGATTGAACTGCAGTCACATTATAAAGGATTCAGAGGGAACCCCTACTTAGACCTGGTGCAGGACTTTATTGCAACACGTTGGCGCCAATCACTGTATTTTCGTAATTGATGATGTCGATGAATCGCCCGCAGCCCTGGGGGTAAAACATAGTGTGACTGTAGCACAAGAGAGAACAGTTGACTCTCGTATAGCGTATGAATTCAGTGTTTCGGTTTGAAGAGGAAGAATGTCAAGTGTTGCTTTTTAAAAGTGTAAAATCACCAGCAGCGTTGTCCCTTTACACTTTACAGAAAATCAGAGACGCGTAAAAATTTCCAGAGTTGGATAAAATTAAGTTGAATATAAGAAACACGCGAAAATATCCCCACAATAAAACGCATAATAAAATAAAATGAAAAGATTGTGTTATTTCGTCTTTTAAAAGTTACTCGGTCTCACTTAAAAAAAAACAAACAAACAAAAGAAAAGTGATTATTAAAGGTGACCTATTTTCAGTCACATCTTTAATGTTACAGTGTTAAATATTCATGTTAAATGGCCAAAGCTTAAAATAATGCGGTACATTTTGTTGTGGAAATTATATTCCTGGTGAGGGGTTGAGTTGAATAATTGAGTTACAACAAACCGTTGTCTTTGAAGAATTGATTTAACGAGAATTAAGTACTAAAACACATATATAGCTGGTCCAGAGACCTGCCGCCCAGGGATGCATCATCATTTACACAGTCTAGGTTTCTATGTTGTAGGAAAACACCAAAACAATCTCGCAGCTCTGACCTGAACCCTAGTTATTTATTTTTATATATATATATATATATATATATATATATATATATATATATATATATATATATATATAATAGTAGTAATAATAATAATATTAAAAGATCATACATAAAAGAGAAAATGTAAGAGGACACAATTTTCTGCCTTAACAAATGTTTACAAAAAAAATTTTCCCTTTCACATTTCCCTTTGTTCCGGTTTCAAAAGTTTTTTTCTCCATATTTATAAAATTATATTTTCCATAGGTCGTCATTTCCGCGTAGCCCCATGCTCCTGGAAACCGCTGCGCTACGTCTCTCTGCACCGCTCAGCGCAGAACGACATGGCCGTCTTTTGAAGTTGTTCAATATGTCGCCAAGAAAGTGTTTTTTCGGTTGCGTCAGAAAAATTAAACTTCTGGTTAAACATGCTGGTAACAGAACAACAATATAGAAATGCAGCATAATAGGTCTCCTTTAAAACAAGAAATTAATAACGAGGCTAATTTGAGCTTTTCAGACAGATTAGGAGACGTTTAGTTGATTTAAATAAAACAAATTATTGCACCTCCTAATAAAAAAAAAGATCACGTCACGGATGAAGAAAATGAAAATGACAGTTTTCTAGAAAGTGAGCGAGACGTCCGGCACAAGAAAGTCAGTCTCTAAATATTTTTACTTTAAGGTGGAACATTCCCATTTCTGTTTTCACGCTGGAGCGCATAACTCTGGTGGTGAAGGACTCTGTTTTACAGTTTGTTTTAATTATAACTTGTTCACACGTTGATTTGATTTGCTGCAATTTTTTGGCAAACAAGAAAACTTGTCCTCAAACAACTGAGGTGGAAAAACCAGACGGCAAAGCAGAGCTGCGTTTGAATATATGCGTGTAATTATTCAGGCTTGTTGGACTACAGCCACGTTAAAGATATTTCATAAGTGTTGTTGAGTTTTCTATCCTGGAATTCCTGGATGCAAACCAGCTCTGCTTATATAATCTCATAATGTTCAGAATAAGTTGTTCAGATGCTTATATTCAAATGGCAAACATTTTAATTAGCAGCCTGGCTGAGAGCCTCAGTGCAGCACAAAGACATCTAATGCGCCGCATTAATAAGAAAACCTCATCATGTGAAACGAGCTGCTTCCTTTGCCTTCAGCCTTTGATTAATTATGAACAAGTATTCCATTACTGTTGGCTGTATATGGCGTTCCCCGCAGTTCAGCGTTATTAATTATTTTAGTCATTAAGAGGAACATGGACAAGAGATTGGTGCTCGTCGCTCCCTGCTGTAGATAAATTCTACTGAGACTCATAAATCCAATCCTGTAGATTCATAATAAAGTTTTTCATAAGGATTCATTCTGTAAGTCTTTGCATTTGTTCAAATCTTAAATAATGTATAATAATTAAAATGTTCAAATTCTTTCACGCTGATTCATACCTGTTCAATATGTTTCCACATAAGTTGCAAAAAGAAAAAAAGAAGTGCTGGCTGTAACGGCAGAGAGTCCTCTTGTGTACCAAACTGCACATTTTCTTTATTAAAACAAAATAAATAAACAAAGACATAGACAATGGTGAACTTTAAGGAGAACTAGAGAATGTGCATCTTTCAGATCAATCTGAGAAGTACGTATGATCTCGTCCCACATTTTATTGTGCGTCGTGTAATGCGGGGAACCGGTCTTGGTCTTGACTGCCTTGACTACAACACAAATAAGTAGTACTGTAGTGTTACGTTACACGTTTCTATAACTCCTTTAACACTTACTTGATTTGTCATCACAATAGTTACACAAATGAAATCAATCACTTCACAAGAGGGGAGATTATGTTTAACTTAAGCGGACTAACATACAAGAAGATGTGCAGTGTAAAAACAAAACGCACGACAGAAATGAATATTCTTAACTCAAAGTATTGTAAGGCAGCGCAACACCAAATAAAGTATTTTTCTTAAATGGTTTACCTGCACTGTAAAGATGGTAACGTAAAGTATTGTAAGACAGTGGTTCTCGAACTTTTTCTGCCACTTTAGAACCCAGAATTTTTTATTTTCATCGATCGTTAACAACACGGGTGATTTAAAGCAAAATAGCTTTGCTTACATCAAAAGCCTAGGGCTGGACGATACGACCAAAAATTTTATCACGATAAAAAGTTTCATATCTTTCGATGTCGATAATCATCACGATAAGTATCAAATCGTTATTTCTTTTGAGTTTAGAGGCTGATTTTTGCTCCTGAGTGGAAGTTGATCTTTATGGTCAGACACTCGAGGCCAGACAGCGGATCACTTCACTAATCTGAGGCAGAAAATTCTAAACAAGTGTGATAAAATCTTTGTCAACAAATGTGCACAAGTAAAATGAAGTTACTCAACAAAACTAACATCTTAATAAAATATTAAGTCCTAATTCATGTATGATTCAAGTGAATAAAAGCATTTGTTATATTGTTATTGAAAAAAAAAATGTATTGCGATAATTATTGTTAGTTGTCCAGCCCTAATCAGAACCTCCCCCCCGCCTTTTTTTTTTTTGGTTTATGCCGCCACAGGAACCATATTCATACAACATCCATGCCCCCGCCCCCAAGTTTGAGAATCATTGATGTTGTAACATAACATCCCCTAACATAACATCTGTAATGTAACCTCCTAAAGAAACAAACATTTGTCTTGTTTAATTTGTCATCCACACAATTTCAGACATAACGTAGCGTAAAACATTTGTTTAATTGTCTTCTCTTACTATACAGGTCTACACGTGTGGGTTTTGGTCACAGTTGGCCCCTTTAAATCCATTATTATGTTGGACATTTCCCTCAAATCGTGCACTATGGAAATGTTGTGTTGCATTTTTCATGAATTTTTCACGTGTTGCATTTTTCATGAACAGCTTCACCTACAGCAGTAATTTTGAGAAATGTGCTGCAGCCTCTCACTGGGCTTAAACACGTTTATATCATGGCTCTGAAATTAAACTCACTCTTCAAACCAAGAAGCAGACATATGCTTTTATAATTGAGGTCGTAAGTATAAAGTTTCAGGAGCAGACTTCACCCTGATGGTTCAGGAGATTGAAATGGGAGTATGAGATGTGTCTAGTGGCCTCTCCACAGGCCAGTTATCTTTGAGTGTAGTGTGGATATATACCGTATACCCGCCTGGGAGTCTTTTATTCTCCTTACTTTCTTTTTCAGAAACTTCAGATAAATGAAATACCAACCAGTCTACATCATACCTGCATTATGGGCATAAATATAAGATCTTAAAAGGCAGTCTCAGCTTTAAATGTGAAAATATGAGGTCTTAATTTCAGCATCTGTTTAATGGTCTCAACAGCTATAATCAGTTGCTTTACAGTCTATAAAACCCATCCACCTGATTATTTCTATTACACTTACCCCTAATCTACCGGTCCTCCTTTCTAAAGAGATTTATTTTAGATAAAGCAACCTCTCGTAGGAACCTGCAGAGATGAATAAACCGAGAGCATCCTGCAGGATTTGTTCAAAGGTCAATCTGTCTTAGGTTTCCTTGTATCTGTCAAAACATTTATAAATGTAATTTAAATTATATAAGCACCGTCGGTCAGTTTCCAAACGACAAACGGATAAGACGTTTGTTTTTTTGTTTTCTTACCAAGAAAATGTCTTGAATTTATTCTGAAGACAATGTTGGGGCAAAGCTCTGTTTTCTTAATTCATTAAGCGAGCGCGACGTGTGATATCTGTGGAGGCATTTAGAAAGAAGCAAAAACAGACTGCAGGACAGCGGCCCCCAAATTGATCCCACATCCTTTGTTGTAATAGCTGCAGGGCTGTGCAACGCAGCTACCTGATGGCGTTTGAATGGGAGTCTTGTTTATACCGAGGAAGCACACAAAACAGTTGGATATGAGGAAGGGCTTTGTCTGGGGAAATGGCCTCAGAAAAAGTTTGGTTTTGTGAAATCCTTTTGCTTTATTTCACTGCTTCACAAAACAAGTCTGCAGAGACTCAGCGGGGGCAAACGTCTGCAAACAATCCTCAGCTTTGTGCCTTAACTCAACTCTCACCAGGAGGGGAAGAGCAGGCACCAGGGGCAGCTCAGAGAATAGCCAATAAAAATCCTGCATTCACTTTAAAGTAGCCTCAAATTCAGGTAAGAAACGAGGAGATTAAACTTCGGGAGAACAAATATGTGAATGCTGGACGTTCCCATGCAGGAAACAAGGTGGAGTCTTTATCCCTCCCGCCTGGTGCTTCAGGTGAATCAAAACAAACGCACATAAGGATTATTTGGCAGATTTGGTTCAGGCCAGGTGTAGTCGCAGGTGCTCTTTGCTGTAATCACTGATAAATGATGTACTGTATGTCTCCTCACTGCTCCGTCTCATATCACACAGGATGACAAGGTGATGTGTTGTTCCTCCTCTGTTACATCTTGATATTGATGTGAATGTTGGGGTCGCTGGGTTCACATCTCCTCTTGAGCGTCTGGGGAGGCTAATGCATGCTGATTTAACTTTCTTTCACCTCTGGAATGTGCTTTTATATGGTTTCCTTCTTTCCTCTGCTGTATAGAAAATATAGAGCTTTTTTTTAATCAAATGCAAATCTCATATTATTGCTTTCATGTATCACAGAATGTCACAGTGCAGCGGCGTGTGCATATATATATATATATATACGCTTTCCCAAACCGTTTGTGTCGTCCCAGTTTCAAAAGCGCAGCAGAAAACAAACTGTTAATTACAAATTGAAAAAGTCTCCGGATGTATGGATGTGTACATTTTATTGTCTCGTCACAAGATGTAGTGTTTATTTGTCTAAAGTGCAGTTTATTAGTAAGTTTGCATTATTGACCTGCAGCCTCACTAGATCAATGCTTTCACAACACCACAGTGTGCAGAAGGCAGTTGTTTCTAATTTGTAAGGATTGTTTTTTTAAAAAATCTTTTTGCCCACACACATAAAATCCAGCTAACGGAATAATCCTGAATACTCTCCTTTACAAAAAGTAATCAGCAGCTGTGAGTCAGAGTTTACATCAAAATATACATTGTGACAGACGGTAATGAAGTTAAAATACCCTTGTAGGGCGGTATTTCTTAAGGAGCAAAAATGTCAGTCTCTTGCTATTTTAAAGCTACATCGCAACATTTCTGGCCACTAGGGGGCAGAAAGACGTCAGAACAAGCTCTTAAGCTGTAAGGATTTATGCAGGTTGAAGAAACTTTAAACTGGAGCAGTCATGCAAAACTTTTAACAGCCTTGTGAGATATCCTGCTAACAGACAAACAAACAGAAACATCACCTCCTTGGCCGAGGTAACGATGCAGTAAAGTGTCCAACAGAGCGAAACACAGAAACACAAACAAAGCATGTCAACAAGTCAACCAGAAAGCCGCCGAATGTTCTTTCAGCACTTTGACATAATTCACCTTTTCTGATTATGAGCACCAGTCCAGACTCTGTTAAAGGTATAAAACGCTGCTTGCTGTCCTCACTTACCCATAAATCCTTGCTCTTTGTTGACTCTTCTTGCTTTGATTCACGCTCCCACCCCTAAATAACAAACACACATTTTGCCAGACAGAGGGCAGGTGTCTTTAGTGCAGCTTATCAGCATTTTGATGGGCATGGAGAAGGAGAAACTTTGTTAAAGCTGCTCCCGATGTGGAAATATAAATATAATCTGTATCGTCCAACGTGGCTGTTTAGAGCTACTTAATTTCCCAGCAACAACAAAGATTCATCAGAGCTTTGTTTTGCAGCGACGGCTGGTTACTTTATCCAACTTCATGAGCCTCAGTGAAAAAGCTACATAAAAAATCCAGTGAGAACCTGAATAAATAGTTGAACCAAACTAAGGAGAATTAATTTTCTACATAATTCTATCACAAGAGGACGCAGAGTTGGTTGGCTTCTAGTTCAGCCCGCGGGTTTCATCACACTGTGACATTCTGGAGGGAGTTTTTCAGGTGTGCGTCTGAGTGTTTCCTGCTTCACTATCTTCGCCTTCTCTCTGCTGCAGATTGAGATATTTGATGCGCTCTGCTCGCTCTGCTTTTTAGAGTTTATTCAAGGAAAAAAAGAGAGCTACATGTGCCCAAAATTTGTAGTTCTGGGTTACTGCAGAAAAACAAATTACAGTCAAAGATCGTTCATCAGGCAACTTACTAAAAAAATAAAATGATTCTCAAGGATGATTTGAAGGTTAATGTCAGTCAGGTTTTTAAAATGTGTGCTTTTAACAAAACCACATTTTTATTGACCCGACCGCCACAGCAAGGAAGCACACAAAGACGAGAACAGGTAGAGAGGCAGGTATAAAGCTAAAGAAGGAAGTAATAAAGGTGAATGGTCTGGAGGGAGAAAGGAAATTGGAGAAGCTGAAGAAATGAAGGATAAAAGATGACAGTAAATTGAAATGTCAAATGGGGTTAAAGGGATGTGAAGTAAGCTGGTGTGTAGATTATTAGTTAGTCAGCCTTCGGTAACTGTCTGCACTCCGTCTTGTTTCTCAGCACACGAAGTCGGGCCCTCTGAAGGACCCGCTGCTGGACGACCACGGCGACTTCAACAGGATGTCTGTGGCGATGAAGAAGATCGGCCTGGACGACACGGAGAAGCTGGACCTGTTCAGGGTGGTGGCCGGCGTGCTGCACCTGGGCAACATCGACTTCGAGGAGGCTGGAAGCACATCGGGTGAGCTGCAGTGTACAAGTTCCTGTGTGGGTGTTTCAAGAAATGCTTCTCAGTGGAACCCAAAGTGTTCAGCATTCAGGAACCACACGGTACAAAGCTGAACTCGAGTTAATCCCACGGAGGCTAATCACTTTGTTGTGCCTGTGTTAATTAGATTAGTATCAAAACAAGACCTTAACTGAGACATTAGAGAGCTGAGCTAAACAAATACAGGAAATAACAAAGCACAGATGTCATATGTTGTGAAGGCAAAAATGTGACATTCAGGTAACTTAACAACATGCAAACTGCACATTCTGGCAAGGACGCAGAACCTCAAAGGCATCGTTAGAAGGGAAGACGTGACTCGCTAATGTACTGCGACGTGTCCGTCATCACATTCATGCAACTATTTTAATGACTGTGTGGAAGTGGCGTGTACCAGCGACGGGAAATGTCCCCAAAATGTGAGAGTTTAAAGGTTTAAGGCGATACTCGTAATTAGCTTTAATTTGTTTATTTGTTCTAGTTACAACAGCCGCAAAGGTAAAATTGCGGCAAAGCGAGAGCTTCACATTTAGCTTAATCCACTGTGACTGGAATCGGACCCTAAGCTGGCAGGATGACACTTTACGAGTCCATGTGACTTTAGTTTAGTTTACTCTGGCCGGCCTGCGGTCTGTCGGCCAGGGTGAATCAAATGTCATAAAAATGAGCTTTAAAAGGGGATTCGCTTCTCAAGGTTAAATTAAACGCTCTGTTTTCTACCAACGGCTCCATATATGGTCATTTGCTGCCTGTGCCGCTGTGCAGCCTGATAACATGCTTCAGGTCCTGGCCAATCACAAGACAGTGGGCTTTGAGAGGGGGCGCCTTAAAGAGGCAGGATCATCTACAGCCGCTACCTGTAATGGAAAAGAGCTATTGGTATCATTAGTATCCTGTTAACCTGCTTCGCTGCTTCTCTGGTGCCACCTGTGAGTTTTCACAGTAACATCGTTAGAAGGGAAGACGTGACTCGCTAATGTACTGCGACGTGTCCGTCATCACATTCATGCAACTATTTTAATGACTGTGTGGAAGTGGCGTGTACCAGCGACGGGAAATGTCCCCAAAATGTGAGAGTTTAAAGGTTTAAGGCGATACTCATAATTAGCTTTAATTTGTTTATTTGTTCTAGTTCCAACAGCTGCAAAGGTAAAATTACAAAGCGAGAGCTTCACATTTAGCTTAATCCACTGTGACTGGAATCGGGGCAATTCGGGGTTCAGTATCTCGCCCAAGGACACTCCGACCAGGGGGAGCCAGGGATTGAACTTCCGATTAACGGCCAACCCGCTCTACCTCCTGAGCCACAGCCGCCCCTGTATCTCAGGGGAAACATCACCAAACCAGATAAAAGAGCTTGAACTCTGCAAGAATAAAATGCTGCTTAAACATTCATGCTTGGGTAATAAAAAAAAATGGACTTACCTTTTGATACTTTAAGTACATTTTGTTGGTAATACTTGCAGGACTTTTTCTTGTGACTTGAGTATTTTTAAAGTGAAGCATTAGTACTTTTACTCTAGTAAAGGATGTGAATACTTCCTCCACCGCCGCGTTTACCTTCTGCATTGAACTCTGAGGCCACATGTATGAGAGGGGGAGGATAGTTTATCATCTAACTGATGAGTTTTCAGACTTCAGCCTGCGGCGGATCTGCGATTGCATTCGCGCCGTATCTGAAACCATCCATCTCGCGTGCTTCTGACTGCTAAACGTCACCAGTTTGGTTCCCAGGAGGCAGATGCCATTTTGATCTCATCCTTCAAGACTCTGCACTTTGATTGATCACTGTAATATTCAGCCTTCTTCTCAGTTCAGTCTCACTGTGGTCGAAGATAAATGGTTTTGGAATATGTGGCGTTGGTGTCGGCAACATCCCTTTAATTATTTTTCTTTTCACTGAAAGGGAAATTAATTAATTACATAATTATTCATAGTAATTTCAAGCGTTATATTATCTACATTTCACGTGTCGTATTGCTGCACGGTTGGCTCAGATGCCCCACCTCATCTCACGCCTCGTTTTTCACACGCTAAACCCTCCGGGGAGGCGCAGTTTCCATGAAAATCAACTGATCCTTTTGAACTTCAGCAGTCAAGTTCCTCAGCTCTCGGTTCCTCCCCGTCGTTTTCTCCCTCCGCAGGGAAGTAGAGGAAGCGCAGCGGGGCGCCTATTAAATAGACTGTTTCTCGCAGCGGGTGGCTATCATGGCTCGTGTTCAGTCAGACGAGGTAATCATCCAGTTTTTCAGACCGGCTTCACTTACAGCTTGCAGTTTGGATCGAGGGAGATTTATTCTGTCCTGGGCGGGGCCAAGAAGAGCTTTTCTTAGTTCTAGTTCAGACAAACAAAGATGAGCCCTGTTTAAGTCCAGTGTCAAGACAAGTTCTGTCATACAGAGCTGAGACAAAGACAAGGATTCACTTTAAGGTTCTGCATGTTCAGGCACCTGGGTCCATCTCGGACCTGCTCCACCAGTAGTTCCTCACGCTCGAGTGAAAACAAAAGGTGATCGAACCTCCGACTATGTGGAGCGCGCTTCCTTTAGACTTACCTTCTGCCGTCTCTGTTGACGCCTTTTTAAAAAGCAGCTGGAGACTCTTTCATTTCTTCGTCTCGCCTCGTGCCGTCTAATGTGTGCGATGGTCTGTTTGTGTTTGATTGTTGTTTTTACTGTTTTTATAATGATGTCTATGTTTCAGCAAATACTTTATTGATCTGTTGTTGTTGCAGTTGCTCATGTCGCTGATTGAGGTGCTAAATAAATAGAAACAATATAAGTAAAAAGCTGGAAAGTAAAAAAAAGAAAATAATCCTTAAAATTGACGTATTAATTAATGTTTCTATACTGTATACATGTTCTTATTTCTTATGACCTTGATCTGTGAGAGGTGCTATATTAAATAAACTTTACTTACTGGCTTACAACCAGAAAATAATGCCCGCCATCCTAGAATATTACAGATCTGACGGCTGGACTCATCAGACTTACTGACCTGTGGCAGAGAATCAATCAGTGCACAGTAGAAGACGTGATCAGAAAGAAAAGATGGAGATCCAGACAGCCCTAAACGTTGAACACAGAGAGAAAATATAACAAGGGGAAGATCTAGAAACATCTGGACCACTGGAGATGTAAATTACTTATTTCACATATAGGGTTTTATTGTATTTTTCAATTCAATCTAGCTTTATTGGCATGAATGTAAAACAACAATATTGCCAAAGCTACAAATAATTTACAAAAGAGCAATTCATTTTATACAGATCATTAATCACTAAACGTAAAAAAACGTAAAAAAATATATATTAAAAATAAAGTAAATAAAACAGTAAAAGTGTGTGTGTGTGTGTGTGTGTGTGTGTGTGTTAAAAAATAAAATAAATCAAAACAGTAAACATATGTGTGTGTGTGTTTGTGTATATTAATAGACAAACAAAATATAAAAAAAATCTGTATCATGTGAGATTTAAAAAAAATTAATTAAAAGGAAAAATTACTTAAATAACAGACAATGAAAGTAATAACTTGAAAACTTTTCAGTATAATTATTATATTTATGAGTCTATTCTGAGTTTCCACTGGTTGTCCTCACTTCATGGCATGAGGAGACATATTTTGCTGCAATTATTTGACATTTGGGCATTTCTCCCAGTAAATAGGGGAGTTTCTGTGTGTCTGACATGAATTCGAATTCGGGGTATATTTGGGAAATGTTTGAAGTGTTTTTGTCTTAGTGTTTTATATTTGGGGCATGAGGTTAGAAAGAGCAGCTCTGTCTCTACTGGTCCTCAGTGTCTCTCCTCTTGTGGTAGCCAGCTCTGTCTGTGGCCAGGCTGTGTTCACTCAGTCTGGATGTTGTCAACATTTTTCTTAGTTTAGGGCATTTTATTGTGCTCAGGTAGTTTCCCAGTGTGAATTCTCTGTTTAGGGTCAGATAACATTGTGATTTACTTTGCGTTTCTTTCCAGTATTCAATATATTTTTCTTTCTGCTGGCTGATATTTGATTTGGTTTGGTCTGCTTGAGTTGGTGTTGCTGTCCTGAGGCTGTCGGGGACTTGTTACTGCAGAGAGTCTCAGGACCAGCTTCTCTGGTTTCAGCTCCTGGTATGTTGGGGCTTTGTGATGGGATGTCTGGGGGTTAACTGATTTTAAGTGATTGGACATGTATTTAGTCAGAGGTCAGGGAAGCCTTCAAATTCATCTTCTAGTTCAAACAGAGGTTTTAGTATCCGTGATCTGTATCTGTCTGGTATTAGGATTGTTTTATCACAGCCACGTCGTTCTTTGAACGTTCTGGTCTCCCTGCTCCTCGAGACTTTCATTTTTAGATTTGGATTTATTTTAATTCCCGGAAGAAGTCCTTACCAGTGACATTTTACTGATATTCATTTATAAGTACAGCTAAAACACTCTAAAAGCCCAGTTGGCAGATTGCCAGGTTCCTTTACTGTGAGCACTGGGACATTTGGCGACCTGAGTGCTGTTAAATGTCAACTTGACCATCTGCAGCGATAATATAGCAAGGTGTTTTTTTTTTTTTTTTTTTAAATAATATAGCAAGCAAGAGAATCCACACACCAATCAGTCTCTCCAGGCCTTAAAATAACATACCGTATCCCACTGGTCAGCAATTGGGTTCAACTGTGGGCCAGTTTTATTCAGCATGGTTTACTTTGAAGGCTGATTTTAGCTCCTGAGTGAAAGTTAAAGAAAAACCAGAAGGTTAATTCTGTTTCTTTATGGTCAGAACGTGACAAAAAGCGGATCACTTCACAAACCTGAGGTAGAACTTTTAAAACGATTATGATAAAATCTTTTTTCAGTCTGCTCAACAAAATAAATATATTAATAGTAAAATTAAGTTTTTGTAATTCTAATGGATTAAATCAAACATTTATTAGCGATATATTTGTTTTATTGTTATTGAGGAAAATTGTATTATGATAATTATCATTATTGTTTTATTGCCAAACTCTGTTATTTTGCAAACATTATGAACGGATCCACCAGCAGATTCATCTGCGCGTGCGTTCAGTGTATTGAAGCTTTGTATAGATTATGAAAATTGTACTCCGCAAACGGTATCGGCTGCAGGTCAAACTGATGTGAACGTACTCGCTCATTGTCAGAATCGTCGGTGTCTTCCTATAAATCACCGGACATTTGGCGTTCGGCGGACAGCGCTGACATTCAAAGTAAAGAGAAATCTCTCAGGAGAGGCTTCAGATAATGAAGCTTAATTAACTAGGAATTAGGTCTGAGTCCTTGGCTTTTCTCTAAAGTGATCTCGGAGCATTTCCTTCCACGGCGGCTTCATTTAGTCCAGACATTGATTTAATATTAGCTTAGCTTTCAGGAGCTATTGATTGTTGGCATTGATCAGGGACGTATCTCTAATACTCTGAGGTGTTTTCATTAACTTCCTATCGTGTTTATGACTTCATATGGGCAGGTAGTTTAAGCCAATGTTGATGTGATTCTACTTTGGTTTTGGGTCATTGTTGCTCCAACAATTAAAGCAATTTAATTAATTAATTGACTTTCCCTCCCAATTTTTCAAATCAAGTACTTTTCAATTTATCAAACTTCATCTTCAACGTAAACTTTGATTATCCCTTCACGGAAATTTGGAGATGCTCTTAAAGTCTCAGTAGGAACCAATGGGCTTAAAGGCGGAGAGCCACAGAATTACACACCAGCCATATTCTTTTAATCAATATGGAAAATAATCATTAGTTACCAAGAACATTATCAGCAAGCTAATGATTGCGGGTTTAATTAGATTTCACATCCTGATCCAATCTGCGATGCCAACTCTTATAAATTCATTCATCAGCTGCTGCGGCCTTCAAGACGACATGACAACCTTCCGCATGAAGATTTAAACTTCCTCCTTCCTCTCGACTCTCTTCTGGGCTTTGTTCGTACCTGCACGGTTCGCAGCTCGTGGGTGTTAACGCTCCCTCTTGCTGCAGACGTGATGAGCGCCGCGCGTTGGCCTCGCCTTCAGCAGTAGGGCGCACGTCGGCTGAGTTGTCAATGTGTCACCAGTAAAAGATGACTTCATTCATATTTTACACACACACACCTCTAATCCTTTGGCACGTTGCCAGAAGTTTGATCAGAGAGAGAGAGAGACGACCTGACCAGGTCACCGCTCCATCAGAAACACATCAGAGTTTAGACTTCTCTGTTTATGATGTGGGAGGAAACTACCGGGAATATGTCTTCCAGGTCATAGTTATCCAAAGGCAGCTGGACATGGCTGAAACTGTCTCTCCACGTAATAAGTTTATTCCGATTAAGTCACAAATTTATAGTAAAACAAGGTGACTTGAATTTGTAGTATTTCTGTTAAAATTTTGAGATCAAGAGATTTAGATTATGGATTTTGATTTAAGAAACTTTGGAAATAACAGTTAAGGTAATCATTTTTACCGACATTAGTTGACTCATTTCACAGATATAATGAGGGGCTGGGTGACAGCTTGGGAAGTTCCTCTGTTTGAGAGAGGAAACGATTAGTGACCGTATTATAAGATTTTTTGAGTTCATAGGTTCTATTGAAGGTCAACCACCTATCTTTTTGGCCAGATAAATCTTGTATTTGAACGAAACGGAAGGATCTCCGCGAGAGCTTTTACACACACAACACAACATTAGAAAGAGACGCCAGGACAGTAACGTTGTTTCCTGTTGCGGGAATCCGACGGCTGAAACTGTAAGCAAGGTGCAAACTACAGGGAGCTGTGCGCCTCTTAACAAAACGGTAGCTCCCCTGATGAATCATGGGTAAATAGATTTCTACAGGCTGTGCGTTTGTGCTTTAATCAATAACTTTCCCGATCAGAGAAGCTGCTGTCAGCTCATCCTGACCGATCCTGTCGGAGCGTCGGGAGATTCAAATAATCAATGACTTTATGCTGCTGTACTTCGTTCGTAAATGTCCGCAGCGTCTCTTTCACCCATCCACCCCCACCCCACCTCACCGCTATTAATCAGAAAGTTAATGTAAATGGATGATGTTCAGATCTTTCCTCATTCTGTCAAGTCAAACTGATGTGATGAGACGTTTGGGAGCTGGTTTGAAGCCACGGACGACACAAGACGACGGCCCTTGTTCATTAAACATGAACGCACTGATTTTGATCTGAAGTTTTGTTTAGGGACGGCAAAAGAATCTTTTGATCCAATTAATGGTTTCTTATTTTCAAAATGTTGGTAGGTAAAAGTAACTATTTAGAGAAGAATTCACTACTTTTGGGACATTTGGATTATGTTTGGTATCATTTAAGTTACTTAAAGGTATAACTAACCGTTTCACACTGCTTCTATTTTACACCAAATGTGTCCTAAGTGTGGATTGTCTGATCGTTGATCTTTGGCCTTTCCTCTAACTTTTGTTTTAAAGCAATCACAGGCCGGCTTGGTGGGAAACACATAGGTTACTGTGTAGTTTATGACATTAAAGGATTTTTATATTCAAGTTCAAAGCTGTCACTGTACAAAAAGCTAAAAACTGTAGCTTTCAGCCTTCACTTGGAACCTGGCATTACGTGCTCATCCAAATAAAGTCAGGTTTATGATATAAGACTAGGTATTGTCTTTGTAATATTGATATATATACGATAAATAGTTTGAGATTGCGTGATTGAATTCCAATAAAAAGCTAATTTCTCTACTGCTTCTTTGGTTAGTTATCTCCTACATTACCCAGCAATCCTGTACTGAAACAAAAGGTAATTTAATTTCATGACTAGTACTCTGTGCTTATCCAGCATGAGTATAATAAACCTCTCCAAGTTTATATTGACGTAATGTATTCAAACATGGGGATGTTTGATTTTCTCACCCAGCCCACCGGCAGCAACATTAGCATTTAGCTTCAGTGTGTGAACCCACAGGCTCTTGCTTGCTCCAACCTTCCCTTTCGTCTTACCGCGCCTGACGACGTGTGGAGCTGATGTTTGCCTCTCTGCTCGTCTTCCAGGTGGCTGCGCTATCAAGAACCAGTCGAGCCAGACGCTGGAGTACTGCGCCGAGCTGCTGGGCCTGGAGGAGGAGGACCTGAGAGTCAGCCTCACCACCAGGGTCATGCTCACGACAGCAGGGGGCGCCAAAGGAACAGTCATCAAGTAAGAGGCCCGCCTTTGCTGACACACACATGTAGCGCATTCACCGATAACACACAAACACATGGACTGCATGCACACTGAGATTAACAACAGCAGAGCCTCAGAGTATCTGTGTGTGTGTGTGTGTGTATATAAAAACATAACCACCACAATTTTAAAAGCAAGGTCAAGCTTATCATCCGAGGTATCATTTGTAAATAACATATTTTTATTTATACATGTTCTTCAGCACGCACTCATACATACAGGACATATGACGCACATTAATTGTGCTGGATATGACCATCCCTCAGACAGGCTGCCTTATTTGCAAAGGCCTGAGAGGCACTGCTCAGGGCTGAGGAAAGCCACTGCCATTATTGTGAATGGGGTATTTCATTTTATTTTACACCAAGCGGGAAGCTTCCGGTCTGAGAACTGATGCGAACGCCGGAAGTCCCCTAAACCTGCATTGTGTCGAACGGCCAGCAGGGGGCGACTCTTCTGTTTTTTTTGGGGTCTCCAAAAAGAAGTCCAGCTCCATTAGAAATAATGTTAAAATGTTTCTACTTGTCAGCTGATTAATTACCTCAGTAAACACTTTCCTGATGAGTTTATGGTCTCAGTCGCTAGTTTCAAGTCTTCTTCAGCACAGCGTGATGTTCATTTAGTAAATTATGGTCCCGTTTAGAGGAACATGGACCAGAAACAAAGTCCTTATAGGCAAGTCATGCAACTCAGCAGACGTCTTTTGGACTATCAAGACCAGGCTCCCATCTGAACGAGGAGAGAGCCAGAACTGCACTTTTACTGCTCACCGGACTTAAATTTAACCAGCGCCGTTGAAAAAACGTATCAGGAGTTTGTTGTTCACTTTTTCTGGTGAGTAAATTTAGTTTTAGCTTGACAAAATTATCAGCCCTGTTAAAATGATCTCCACACACGGCCGTTAGCTCCAACGTCTCGTCCAAATATGGTCACGTCCGGTGCCGCTGGTTGCAAAAACATCAGACAAAGAGAAGACAGTCAGGCTGCAGAACTGAATATACATGACCTTTAATGGTCTACGCAATGAACTGATAAGGAAAATGTTAATTATTTGCATCCCTGCGCAAAAACACACATAAAACTCTGTAAAGCTGAGAGGAGCTGCAGGTTCAGCTGATAACTCTCTGAAGCTTCATCCGTCATTTCAGACCTTATTATAAAAATATAAATTACAGTGACTTTAAAGTGCTCAGGAAAAAAAAGGGGAATTTCAACATCTACAATTTCATGAACACGGAGGAAACTCCATGTGCTGAGGAAGTCTCTGTGATACGACCGAAAGCTCCAGAGCAGCTGCTAAATGGACTTTGTCATGAGAGATTTTTATTTAAACTAAAACTATTCAGTCCTTTACTGTAAGAAATGTGTAGCAAGACTTTGTATTTTACTTTTTTTACTTCACAGCCCCTCTAATGTATGTTGCTGCCGCGCACCGTCTAACAGCACACAAACACGTAACCCACTGACTTATTAGAAGAAACAAACACCGGTAGAGCAGATGGTTGATGTATTGCTTGCCTCCTGTCCGTAGAGACGAGCAAACGCTCGCTTCAGCTGATGTCAGAATGTACAGTAAACCCAAACGAGGCTCTCAAACAGCTGGCTGACTCGCCTCCTCGTCTTATTGTCCAGAAAGAAAGACGGTCGCGCACAAACACCGGATCGAATGCAACAGTTATTATGAATAAAGTGGCGAGCCATCTGGACGTTCAGCGAAGCATCTGGACGCTGAAATTAGTTTGATTTGGAAAGTTCAGAGGTGACTGAAGGTCGCTCTTCACATTTATGTGACGTACATGTTTGGTGTGCCTACTTCTAAGTCAGTTACTGGTTTCCTAGATTTTCCCAGAAGGCTTTTCTGACAACAACATCCGCTGAGGCTACTGTTGATTTTAATATTTACCTAACTCTTCAATTAGCATTCGGTTACATGTTTTGCCAGTTTCATGTCAGACTGATGATGCTCCCCCTCATTTTTTATAGTCTCCTCACTAAGCTCCCCCGTCAGACTTCCATATTTCAGCACCGACTACTGAATCGCACATCCAGAGCAGGCGCAGAAGAGCACGTGAAAGAAATGTGCAATGTTTTAAAAATGTTCAGATATGTTAGGATACTTCAACTCCAAACGGCTGGAAATGTCTCAGTGTGACATTATGTCATCTTCTTGATCTTGTAAAAGCAATAAAAGAGCAGCCGTGTGGATTAAACGAGTTAGCAAACACTAGCTGGTGGAAAAGTAAACGTTAGGAGAGTTTATTTAAGATTTTACAAAGTTAGGATGCTTCTTTTAATTAGGAAAGGAATATTGACCTTGAGGAAGTGTTAATCTGTAACGGCCTTTTTCCTGAATCACGTGTTACTCGTCTTTTTCCTGATGACTGTATAAGTGCAGCCAGAAAGTTTGGCTTTGTTTAATACAGGTAACAAAAAGCGGCAATACGACTAACTACATGTTATGAGCCAAATGTTTATTCAATACAATTATTAATAACCCGAGAGTCCATTGTAGTTTTTGTTTTATATTATTTATATTCATATTTACATTTTCACAGTGTCTGAATATTTTATTAAGAAAAACTTCATTGCTCTTTGAATTATTGTTAAATCAATGGCATAAAATTGTCAAATAATATTTTTTATTGCAATCATTTATCTGACAATATATCATCCAACAAGAGCAGTTTTTGTTACAGGCTGACCCTGAAATACCAAGTTCCTCACCTGTAGCTATTTTTACAGTCCTGCAGAAAATACTTTAGACCCTAAATCCAAATGGAAAAGGAAAAACAAACTTCTTTTTTATGCATTATCTCCCTTTATTCCTGTAATTTAGACTTCACTACTGACCTCCATGTCACTGCACATGTCTTTGTGATCTTGGCAATGATCTGTAGTCACATAAAGACAGATAGATGCAACAAACGGCGTATTTTATTCCCCACAGTGCCTCCAACATCGAGGGGATTCCTGTTTACAGGCTCCTTCACTGAAGGTGACCTTTATGGTTTGCTGCAGCTTTAAAGGCATCACAAATTATGCTGATGGAAAAACATCCTCCTCTAATATTATTAATGGCCCTATTTAGAAAGTCACGGTGAATAAAAGCACAAATTATCCAGGCAAGGGAAAGTTTGTCTAGTGTTGGTTGCTTCATTTATATCAGTTCTGTCAAAATTTATATTTAAGGCACGATTAAATACTTTCATCAGTCTTATGATGCCTCTCTCAAAGCGCTGTGGCAGTCACTGTTTGTGATGTTCCTCTGTCCAGCAGGGATGTAAAACAAGGACACAAGCTGCTTTCTTCGTCAAGAGGCTGCAACGCTGGTGAAAAAAAACATTAAAATTCTCTCCAGTTAGCGCCACATGCTAAACTGTGAGCGGCCTAGTTTACATGGTCTGTGACAGTTGGCATGTTAGGGCACATATGGTGCAAGAAAACACTAATGTGTGTTTGTGCAGAGGAGGTTGTGTTTGCTGCGGCGTTTAACTCTCCAGGTTTTGGTTTATTCAAGGATGGTCTCACCTATATTCTGATAACGTCGCTAGCGGCGAGAATCATCTCCACACAGCTAATGCAACTCGGCGCCGTACGCCATGATGGTAAAGTAGCCCCGAGACGCAGCCAGCAGACTCGCAGGTTGCACAAATCTGTCTAGTAAATGAATATGCAGTGAGACTTTTTTCCAAACTAAATAAACATTGCTTAGCAGTAGGGCTGCAACTAACAATTATTTTCATTATTGATAAATCTGTGGATTATTCTCTCAATTATTGGATTAGTAGTTAGGTCCAGAAAATAGTGCCTAATATCAGTCAGTGTTTCTCAAAGCACAACCCAAATACATTCAGTTTACAGAGGAGAAAAGAAATCAGGAAATATTAACTTTACATTTGAGGAGCTGGAATCAGAGAATTTGGAAGTTTTTTTTCTTCCTCCTGGGCTGAAAGAGATTTAACAAAATAGTTGGTGATTAATTTAACAGTTGACAACTAATTAAATAAATCGATTTAATCGTTGCAGCTCTACTGAAACGGCTCGTTCACTCCAGCAAAAAAATGTTCTGGGAGAATTCAACAGTTACAAGACATTTAGTATAATATAATGGAAGTATAATAAAAGTATTTCCACCACTTTTGTTGAACAATTGTAACTGCAGCATGAGGAATAAAATGCTAAAGTCACAAGCGATGACTTTTGTGAGGGCATTAACTTTAAACCAGGTGGACGCCGGCACGACTTGGTGACAGCTAAAGACTTAAAATGAACTTGAGGGCAAGAAATGAAGCGTCGACAACCAGACGTGCAGCTTGAACCATTCACAGCTTTACCAATCGGCTCCAGCTTAACAAGATAAACTGGAACCTGTGAAGCGTTACGGAGGAGGAGGAGGACGACGAGTATTATGCCATTTTTATGGCTCAGTGCTCAACGCCGAGGGAGGGCTTCAGGTATTAAAGCGCACCGGGGGCTCAGAGCTGGAGTGAACTGATACCTCAACAAACCCCCTCCGTCAGACCGCACTGCTCTTTCGCGAAGAGTTCAATTAAACTAATAACTTAATCCTGAGAGTGAAGATGAGACGGGAGGGCAGAGACACAAACACATAGCACCAGGCAGAGATACTCATATCCAGCTAGTACAACCCTTGGGATCACTCTTCAAGGCCTTAACCTAATCTGAGGGCAAACAACAACAAATGTTGTGGACGCACACACCAGACAGGAAGCAGTCGAGGTACGGTAGCTGGTTTGCTCCAGTCGTTAAGGAAAGGATTTCTGCAGAGTTAATATCACATCAAGTAGACGGAAGAGGACGACCCAGGTGAGGGTTTTCTGATCCAGTCCCTGTAGACAGCAGGCTTATCGGACACCAGACGTTTATGATCCAGGATTTAACAACACCCTAAAAGTTTTCACTCATTTTATTCTCCATTTCTGCGACTGCGGACGAGTACAGTTACCACGTCG